TCTACCTCACAGAATAACATTTCAAAGTTATATTTAGTCAGGAATAGGCACAAGTTACTTTGAAGAAATGTCTCCTTATCTGAAACAAAATAATATATAAAGACTAACATGCAGATCTTATATGGACATAAAACTAAAACATTGTCTTCAAAATATTCAAATTAGGTACATATTTTTATAAATACAATTCAATAAATACATATTATCATATATCTTCACTAGTGTGCAACATAATGTATGTGTGTACATGTGTGTGTGTTTTCTCAGCTCTGACTAAACTAATCTGGGCTCTGATGTGTGTGTGTGGGTGTCAAACAGGAGGTATACGTGTGCATGTGTGTGTACATTTTGTCACCACTTCTAAGAATACATCAACAACAACTGTTCAAAGTGACACAGCAGTGGGTGTGTGTCTATATATACAATAGATGTGTCCTTTTATGTGAGGAACGCATTATGTGTGGAGAGTGTGAGGCTGGATTCAGGAGTGAGGTCAAGTGTGTGAACAGGAGGGAGGAGAGAGAGTGAGAGTGTGTTTTTTTTATTCTGGGAGTCTGTCAGAGTCTGGTGGCAGTCGGGAGGTAAAACACAAAAAACTCGGCTTATTAAGGAGTTTCTCGCTGTCAGAGGCCAGAGCTTGAACCTTACAGTGAAGTGTGACGCCGACTTAAGAGGGGAGTAAGGCACAAAGATGATGAGAGGATACCGTTAGACATAAACGCTGTTTTTGTCACAAACTCTTGGATTCACCCTGTGTGGTGATGGGGACGGTGAGCGAGCTGTGTGCCTCCAGCTTCCAGGCATTTCTCTGCCCTTCAGTACGACCTGCTGCAGCCACAGGTGAGAGTTTTCTGAGGAAATACATGTCTTTTTATGATATCTTAGAAAACAGGTAAGTGTTGTTTCACATATGGACGATTCTTGATAAATAAGCCTTTAGTTTGAGCTGATTTTATTTTTCTGAGTAGAGATGCAGCCATTAGTCAGCAACTTGATTAGTTGATCGACAGAAGTCATTTTTCATTCAAGACGCCTATGAAATATAGAGAACCCTGACTTATATCATATTAAACTGAATATCTATGGGTTTTTGACAAACAAAACAAGACATGAAAACATCACCTTGGACTTTGAGAAACTGGTGTGGACATTTTTCACTATTTTCTGACATTTTTTAGACCAAATAATTAATCTTTATCAATAAGTTGTCATGATTGTTATCATCACATGGCTTTGCTGGTTAAATTATCCTTTCATGTGACTCCTAAAAGCTTAGAAATAACGCACAAGCAGAGCCAGACTGGCACAAAGTGCTATCAGTGTTCAGTTGCCGTGGTGATTCTCTGTGGTTATCAAGACACACAGAGCGCTCTGTAATGTGTGTTGTGTGTGTGTGTGTGTGTGTGTGTGTGTGTGCCATCATGCTGTTTCTGACATTTCTGTGTTCATGTAGATACAAGTCAGACAAACTGTGCTTATATGTGTGTGTGTGTGTGTGTGTCTGTGATGGTGGGTTGGATTTGAAAACATGACGCACAGCCATCACCCAGGACCCTCCTCTCCAGTGGGTGCTTGAGTGACATAATCTCCATCCCTGCCCACTGTGCAGGTGCTACTGTAACCAACCTGCTCACTCAAAAGCTATTCTCACACCGTGAACGCAGCGCGGCCGTGCACACAAAGGTATTTCCACTCGTCATGTCTTTTATGATTTTCAATCTGGACTTCCCCGTCTTATTTCCTCTGCTACTTTCCTTTTATCAAGCCTCGAGGCCTCTGATACAAGATTTCACAGATAAATGCTTTAATTGTGAAGTAGATTTACACAATATGTTCTACTGTAGCTTCATGTTGAATTATAATATCATCATTCTTTTTCAAATTGTTATAACTTTTGTGAATAATGGTTATACTTAAAGAATGAGTGTTATAATAACAAAATCAATTGTATTTTTTTCTATTATTGTTATTATCCAAATTATCCTATTAAAAATATATATATATATATATATATATATTTACTTAAAGAGAAGCAGGGTCTGTTGAAAAATGTGTCCCTCCACTTCAATACAATGGACATGATTGAGATTTTATTTGTGATTTTTTTTGTAATAACAGCAGCTTTTCTCTCCATGAGCAGTGCCCCTGTTATCCGATTAGTTTGCAAATCTCACAGTTAACAGTTTCCAAATAAATACTCCTCATAAAAACTGTTCACTGTCCCTGCCCCTGCTCAGCATATCCTGTTTTTGGTGTGTCCAAACGCTGCATAAAGCACTGATTCAAGCGCACAGCTGCAACCCTTTCCTCTGTCCTTCCCTACATCCTCTCCCTTCCTAGCACACACCACCCATCCTCTGATATCAAGCCTGCTTCCTCAGTCTTCACACCCTCTTGTATAAATAAATATGTCTCTCACTATCAGCAGTTGGGGGAATATTACTACTTTAAAGCTTAGTATGTTTTACTTGTTACTTGTTAAATTGTGTATCCTTCTCCTTCTTGAATGAATGCCCTTCTTCACTAGAACATGTATAACTATCCCCAGGGCAAAACATATTAAAACGGAATCTGTGAGCAATGTATGGAGCTGCACCCATAGGGATACCCGCCACTGTACACAAACACATGTAGCAATACAAACATTTACGCATTCAAAACGCATTTCCTCTTTTCATTTCTCCTTTTCTCTACACAGGAAACTGCTTCAGTCACAGAATAAAAATTGTTTAAATGTCAGAATGACACACTTGTAAAAATATGAAATATTAATGCATCCACTACAGACAAAATAATGATTTATAATAGTGAGTCAAACTTGGGACAGTCATTTACTGGCTCAATATTATATATTAAGATTTAGTATCTATACCTCATCCAAACACAGTAAATCGTGATTTTGACGATTTACACATTTCTTATTATTTTGTCAAGATTACGACTTTAAGTGCCATTAACAGTAATGTAGGTCAAAACTAATTACAGTAAGTTATTGAGTTAAAAAGGAGTTAGTATGACTTGATTTTTTTAAATTTCTTTTCATATCTTATTTGAAATAATAAAATATCATGTAATAGAATTTAACGTAATTAGAAAAAGAAAAATACATCATAATTCTGAATTTAAGTTTAAGACACATAAATGTAGTAGATTTCTGATAGATAGATAGATGGATGTTTGTTTTTTCTGCTCTCTGATTGGCTGCTGCGGTGGAAGCCGCGCTTACGTCATCCTGCCCCAACACCGGCTGTCTGTACAGTTGTCATTAACTGCCAGTGTAACGGTAACTGAGTGAGGAAATACAGACACCCTCGACCTTTAAAGTTGATTTAAAGTGACTGATTTAAGCGCTGTTCTCTAGGCAAGCGTGGAACAAGAGCACAGACATGGTTTTGAATTCCGAAGACGGAGTTGGTAAGTGGGCTTTCGTTGGTTAATGTGTGCTAGCTAACCTAGAGGCTAACCAGGTTAGCTAACTAGCTAACGTAACTTTATTTAACATCGTAACTGAAAGCACCTTACGTTACTTTTTGTCTAAGTAAATACCGGGTAATTATTTTAAAAAAATTGCATTTACTTTCCTGTCAGCAGAGAGATATCAACAGGTCCTCATTTGACTGATTTGTTAATGCTCTTAGGCAGTCTTTATTAACTGGCACAAGGGATCCATTATTATTAATCTGGATTTAGGCCAGACCTCATGGGGGTTGTACTTATTGTGCAGCACTTTATAGTTCATCATGTGTCTATAAATAGTACAATCAATGTGCCCATTTGTTGGTTGAAAATAGAGGAATTGCTCTCTGAAATCGGACTTCTCTAATCATTTCCCCAAATTGTGACCAAAGTGTTGGATACAAAAAGGTCAATACAGAGAGGGGAAATGTGCTACCATAACATAACAATGTTTTCTTGGATTATAAATCCTCACAGCTGCACTAATGCTTCCTCTGACAGATTGAGAGCTCCCACGGGAAATGCTCTACAATGAGGTAATTTACAGCTGGGGAAAAGCCTAACAAAACCGATTACCATGTGATTTAAATTAGGATGACTCATTCTGTTCAGTCAATTGTATGAGATGGACTAATAACATACATTGTATAGTCAGGTTGGTAGCTGCTGTCAAATAAGGACCAGCAGTATGGATTTATTTTCAGGCATTAATATTAGTAGTTCAATTTTTGTTAGTAACTGTAATGCACTTCACCACCCTTGGAGAGCAGTTCAAGTTGTCATATTTAGCGTCACTCCCTCTGTGTTTCAGGGACGTGTTTCTCTCTCTCTTCTCTCTCTTTCTGGCTGTGTGAATGCGATCCGTCACTAGGGAGTTTACCATAACCGCAGGACTGTATCACTCTTGATCTGGTTATCCTCGGGGCCGGGAAACCTTGAAATGCACAATTAGGGCCTTGTGAACTGAACACTGAAATGGACAAGTATTGCCTTGTGAACAGTAAACACACAGTTAGTTTTCTAGTCATAACTGATGTGCCTTGAGCCCTGGGTCAGCTGCAAGGGAGCTGTTGTTGGTGTATGATCGTGTGATTTATTCCAGAAGAAAAGTAGAGAATTAAGGATTTAAGATGTAAGAATGATTCAATCCTGCCAGAACATAGAGCGGTTGTTTTGCTGTTATTTCTTGTTGATGGTGAGCAGGAGATGCAAATCATATATTCCAATCCTCGTTTTTTCAGTGAACAGTGTTTCAAAGACGCAAAACTGCACCTCCCCACGTCCGTTTCCTCTGGGTGGGACACCAGTGGGGAGACTCTTTGATGCTCTGCTCAGTGAGGGAGGGATTCATTAAAAAGAATAATCTAAGAATTTATATTTTTTCCGCATTTACTTGTTAAACTTGTCCACAGTATTGACATTTACATCTCTAATATGTGTAATATGTAATTGTAAAGTGCTTTGAGCACCTGTAAAAGCTCTCTAATTAAAAAATGTAATCCATTATTATTATTATTAAATATATTTATTTATTTAAAAAAATATTTAGTACATAATAACTTTTCTTTCATATTTTTTTCCAATTATTTATGAGACTTTTCTAATTATTATATTTATTTTAAAAATGAACTATATATAGCATATATCATATATTTTTGTATGTATTTTTTGGCACCCTTTTGACTTTATCAGAGGGAGGAGTCAAAATGGCCAGAGGGAGGTGGGGGAGAGCGATGAGAGTTCAAGGGTTTCCACACACACACACACACACACACACACACACACACACTTGTCCTCATCCTCATTTAGCTGCAGGCCTGCTCCCCTCCTCTCCCCTCTGCTGGAATGAGAGCCTGAGGATTAAGGAGCCGGGCGGCTGGACCAGACGAACACAGGATTGAAATTGGGATTGGAGGGCTCGGGCAGGACTGGATTATTGTTGGACTGCAGGAAACGGGCAGTTTGTGCTGGGATTGGTGACACGGATTGTCTTGTGGACTCTATGAAACAAGCGGCAGTGAGAAACAAACGTGGTTGTCAGCGGCACTGGGAGCACGGGGACTGTCGAGACTGGCTGTGAAGCTACTCAGCTGCAGACAGACCGACGCTTTCTCTGGTATGAACCTCCGGATTATGACACAAATGTGTAGGTGTTCAGACAGCGCGTCATCACAACTACTGCTTTTGATCTATTTTTCAGAAACTTGGCTGAATGAGTGTGCATGCGTGTGTGTTGTCACGTATTCCTTAGAAACAGTTATGAGAGCCAGAAACCTTGTCAGAAAAAGACAAGGTTTTAGTTGTTTTGATGATTTGTTTGTTCTCACTGAGGATGTAACAAGCTGCATGACTTACAGGGTAGAGCGTGGAGGGTCACGAATAGAGAGTGAACTTTAAGCCTGGATATGTCGGTTGTCCAGAGCAGCTGGTCATCAGAGGCATTGCTACGACAAGGTGTCCCATTACTTGGCACCACCAACACTCTCTGACCTCCAGACTGTGCACAGCCGCTGGTTTATTTAGTTGTTTGTGTCAGAATGTGTGTTTTTTTGCTTAATAGTAGGATGTTGTGGAGAGGAGTAGTTCTATCAGGCGTCATGAATCCATTTTGCTCTTATTTCCTCTCTGAATGAAAAGCCAGACAGAGGAAGTGAGTGAATGTCAGTTTCACTGCCTCTGCTGCGTTATTCTCGTCCTCAGGTTTATAATAGGGCAGTGTGTGTGTGTGTGTGTGTGTGTGTGTGTGTGTGTGTGTGTGTGTGTGTGTGTGTGTGTGTGTGTGTGTGTGTGTGTGTGTGTGTGTGTGTGTGTGTGTGTGTGTGTGTGTGTGTGTGTGTGTGTGGGTGTGTGGTGTGTGTGTGTGTGTGTGTGTGTGTGTGTGTGTGTGTGTGTGTGTGTGTGTGTGTGTGTGTGTGTGTGTGTGTGTGTGTGTGTGTGTGTGTGTGTGTGTGTGTGTGTGTGTGTGTGTGTGTGTGTGTGTGTGTGTGTGTGTGTGTGTGTGTGTGTGTGTGTGTGTGTGTGTGTGTGTGTGTGTGTGTGTGTGTGTGTGTGTGTGTGTGTGTGTGTGTGTGTGTGTGTGTGTGTGTGTGTGTGTGTGTGTGTGTGTGTGTGTGTGTGTGTGGATAGACAGAATACTAATCTACATTAGAACAATTTAGACAATGGACAAACATTCTTGCAGTTTATTACATTTAGAAATGAAATCTATTTGGCCAATGAAAACTTGACATATTTATTTTAGAATTATAATATATCGTTGTAATCACTAAAACCATTACATTGTACAAAAACAACATGAATGGTCTTTGTTGACACTGAGTAACTTTGTGATGATGGCAATGAGCAGTTTCCCGGAGTCCCTCAGGCTGACACGCAGCAGCAGCTACGTCCTCCGTGGCTCCTCGCTAGCCTGCAGTAAATACTCTTTCTTTCCTTAAGCTGTGTTCACTGATGAGAAACATGGTGGATACGGACAGTAGTTAACAGTGCAGGGCTTTGATGTTTGCAGAACAGATTCAGCGTAAATATTCTCCATGATTTCCCTGTTTTATGTTGAAATATCTTGAGAGAAACCAGAAGTCACCGTGACTGACAGACTCCCATTTCCCTCCCTCTCTTATCGTTCCGCTGCAGATATCATGTGTGGCTGTAGACACATGAACTTCTGCTCTATCAAAGTGCACACTTGTTCCGTTGAGGCGGTGTATTACATTTAAGGCGGAATGGACATTTGAGCTGATCAGAAACTTCTATTCTCTTAGATCATATTAAACTCAATGTATTTGTCTTTTGGACTGATGTTCTATACATTTAAAGACATCCTCTCGAACTTTGAGAAACTGTGATGGACATTTTCATTGTTTTCTAAGACTTCATAGAACAAACGAGTAATTGAGAAAATAGTTGGCACATGAGTTAATTAACAAAACTGTAAATCCCTGCCTTCAAAATGTGCTTTCTTTAAAATAAAGAAACCACAGAAATATGTTGTACTTTGCAACAAACAGCTGTAATGGAGATTGTGTTTTCATAACCTGTCATTCAGTTAATACCAAAGCTGACAAAGTTAAACATTGAAATAATGTATTTTTTGCAATCTACAGTCCAAAAAGTACTTATGTTCAAATGCCCATGTTTTCTGTCAATAACCTTACATTGCTAACATATGGAAAAACGTGTGTACATCAGTATTAAGAGCAAGGGGATGGATTACCCCCCCCCCCCCCCCCCAGAGAGCAGTGAGACTCTGATGTCTCTCTCCTTCCTATGTGTGGTGTGTGTGCATTACAGTATATTTACTGTATCAGCGTGTGTGTGTGTGTGTGTAAGACACTATTTGATCTTTGTATTTGAGTGCTTCATGTCCTTTCTCCCCCAGTGCCTGATGACCTCAGTCCAGAGGAGAGAAAGGAGCTGGAAAGCATCCGCCGCAGGAAAGAGGAGCTACTGCACGACATACAGGTAACTAATAACACACACTTCTCTCAGCCGGTCCAACCTGTCATCAGTCCTTATTTATTACTCTTTGGACAAAATGCTTTCTTAACAGGGCAAACATGATATGGGAATTTGTCTTCGTCCCTTTTGTTTATAAATTGGTCCCAACTTTTTACATTGTAAGCTGTGTGGAAGGAACATTAAACCAAAGGGAATTTGGCAGTGGTGGAAAGTAATTTCACTTAAGTGGAGTACTTAAGTACATTTAGTGAGAGTATTTCCATTGTTTGCTTTTCAATGTTTTGTCTCAACATCACATTGTTCCAGTATTTCTTTCTTCTCTCGGTGTCCTGAGTAGATGCGTACCTCTATGTCTAGACCAGTGTGCGTGTGTGTGTATATGTGTGTTTTTGGAGGGGGTATAGGCGTATGACCACCGGAGCGTTACTGTAGACATTCAAGACGAATGAACCTCTTTGTGTGTGTGTGTTTTATGTGTGTGTGTTGCAGCAGCACTCTCTGCCTGGAGGGACAGTTTGACCCCCTGCCTCAGCCCCCCTTCAACCTTTGATAAATGAGTGTCAGCTCTTTATCTGGGTTCATTTGTTTTACAAGATTAAATTGAATATTAGGTCTTATCGTGATTAACAAGACATTGTATAAAACCAATAATGACCTTTATCAACATAAAGGTTTTTGACCATAACTAGATAAATGACTGGGAACAATATCTACTGCTATCATAGTTCCATGAGTCCGTTTCAAGCTCAAATCTTCCAAAAGTCCTTAGTTGGAGTTGTTAATAAATGGTCTTATGTAATAATAAAGTGAACATGTTTTGGTCTGTTGGTAAAGCACTTTGATGACATTAACATCGGCTTCAGCAATGTTTCTTTTCATTTTATAGAACAAATATTAAAACGACTAGTAGAGTAAATACATTATAGATGAATTGATTATAAAATTACTACATATTTTTGATCTATGAGATGTTCATGCATCCAAAACAAACACACACACTAGAAAGACAAACATGGCCCCCGGCAGCGACGCTGTGCGACTGATTGATGGAGTTTATTATCGAGGTGGACTCGTACGGCGCTTTCCTTTTCTCTAAGCCCCGCCCTGTGTTGCCCTGGGGGGGCTGATGGGTAATGAGCCATGAAATATTCCAGTAATGGAGACGGAGGACGCTCTGCACATGTAGGAATCCAGTTATTGACCTTTCTTTCACACACTCGCAGATAGCTGTAGATAATAAGAGCTCCAACCAGAGACTCCGGCCTTGTCTGCTTCTTTTTTTCTTTAATTATCTTAGTTCATTATCTTTTCTGGGCTCAGGGTTTTCAATCTGTTTCTCGCCTCTTTTTTTTTTTTTACATCTACAACCTCTGTTGTCCGCTGCAGCTCCACTAAGCCAGTCAAAGTCTTTGATCCTGCATGTTCCCCTCCTTCCCCAGCAGTGTGGCTCTCAAACAGCCTGCGGAGGGCATCGGGGGGGGTGGGGAGGCAGGGTGATAAATCTGGGTCAGCACTGGGGGAGAGGAGGGAGCGAGGGGAAGCGAGGTCGCCGCTGACCCCAGAACAGGTGCTACAGCTCCCAGAGAGGATTTTCTGCAGAGGGCGGCTGTTCCACAGAGCTCCTGCAGAGAGGTAGAATGAGTCTGAGAGAGTGAGTCGGGTTCCTCTTTCTGGGTCATGTCTGTGAGAAGAGCCGGTCTGAATGTGATGATCAGTGAGAAGTAGCCGGAACAGACGACCGTGTGTAATGCATTGTGCTGCCGGTGAGATCAAAGCATCTCCAGAGGTTCATGTGAAGGGTCGCACATCACACACACATCACATGTATGCATGTCTATATATATACACGTCTGTTTCCTGCTTTATATTTCATAACCCTCCTCTCTGTCTGTCTGCTCTCAGAGGCTGAAGGATGAGATAGCAGAGGTGACCAATGAGATTGAAAGCCTGGGCCAGAGTGAAGAGAGGTAAAGTGTCTCTTAACCATTCCTGTGCGTGGGCAGCTGGGGTCCTCAGCCTTTGTTTTAGTGGAAGTGCACTCAGAGAGAGGGACAGGATCTGCCTGGCGCTCAAAACAGAACGCGCTTTATTAAGTTGAACAATATACAGTTTACTATGATGTAGAACTGAAAAGCAGCAAAGCCTCACATTTGAGAAACTAAAAACAGTGAATGTTTGCCATTTTTCTTAATAAATACTTTAAATGATTATCAAAACTGCCGTCTATTTTTTTTTTGGTCAATTTGACAAATCCATGTATTTAGTTCGGGCTCTTTTCATTTGTTTTTAGGAAAAGCATGCAGAGGAATAAACAGATGGCCATGGGCCGAAAGAAGTTCAACATGGACCCGAAGAAGGTGAGAATGATTGGCATCTATAACAATCTTGTTTTACTGAAAAACCCCAAAGATATTTAGTTTACAAAAATAAAAACACAAAAAAAGGACGAAAGTTGGTCAAATTAAAATTGGTAATATACTGTATGTGTTCACTTGGTATTTGTTCCTCACTGGACACCATAACATTCTTATTCAATGTATTTATTCTTTGTGAACGATGTTCAGACTGGGTTTCTTTTCTCCCTCAGGGGATTCGTTTCTTGATTGACAGCTCCCTTTTGAAAAACACCAGCGATGACATCGCCCAGTTTCTCTACAAGGGGGAGGGGCTTAATAAGACCGCTATTGGAGACTACCTAGGGGAGAGGTAAGTGTCATGATGTTTAATATTTACATTTGTGCTTGTCCTACTGAGACGAAGTCAAAAATGTCTGAGTACAAAAAACGGGGTTAGGGTTACTAAAAGACAGAAAACCTTGCTCCTTGTTATTTCAGGGTTTCTTCTAGAGCTGCCCATGTTTGTACACGTTCAGCATTATTGAGGACAAATCAGGAGCTTATCAATATGCTATTAGTAATCTGAATATGATTTAATAAGCTCATGTTGCATTGCAGTTCTAAAAGATCATCCGTTAATCTGATTCGTCACATCTCATCCAACTTTTTGACACAGCTAAACAGAGCTGCATTCAGCTACTGATCGTGTGTGTGTGTGTTGCAGAGATGACTTCAACATCGAGGTCCTGCACGCCTTCCTGGAGCTGCACGAGTTCTCAGACCTGAACCTGGTGCAGGCCCTCAGACAGTTCCTGTGGAGCTTCAGGCTGCCCGGCGAGGCTCAGAAGATCGACCGCATGATGGAGGCGTTCGCCCTCAGATACTGCCGCTGTAACCCCGGAGTGTTCCAGAGCACAGGTTGGCAGATCGATGTCATACCAACAAATCTGACTATCGGTAAAGTCCTGAAAAAGAACACACACACTGATTGAGTCTTCTTCTACAGATACCTGTTATGTGTTGTCTTTCGCTGTGATCATGTTGAACACCAGTCTCCACAACCCCAACGTGAAGGACAAGCCCTCGGTCCAGAGGTTCACGGCCATGAACAGAGGCATCAATGATGGAGGAGACCTGCCGGAGGAGCTGCTCAGGGTGAGAGGCGTTGTATTTACACGTTTGAACAATGTTCCCCTCCAGTATATATTCGGACAGACAAAGTTTACTCGGTTTAAATACAGACAAAAATAATACCAAAACAAAAAACATGCATTGTGCCAAATCACACTGTCGTCCACTTGATGTTCAGTCGTCTTACTGTGTAAACACTGCTGATGATGCAACTGGTAAAGGGTCGGCACTCGGCTAATTGTAATTCCATTATGTTCTGCAGAGGCGCTTAATCCATAGAAACACATAATACATTTAACTGATTATATTCTCTATCATTACTCTGAGAATGCAAAGTAACTGAAGCTGTGAAGATAAATGTTAACATCTCATATCTGCTCATCGTCTCTGTAGAACTTGTTCGACAGCATCAAGAACGAACCCTTTAAGATCCCAGAGGATGATGGGAACGACCTCACACACACCTTCTTCAACCCCGACCGAGAAGGATGGCTGCTCAAGCTCGGTTAGTGCATGTGGTGTGGAACAGTGCAATTTATTCAATTCATGAAATCATACTGCTGTTAGTCCCTGTGAGCTGTGAGGCCCTCTAGTGAACTGGATCTGTAACAGCAGATGAGCAGGAAGAGTTGTTGTATTTTTGTCATATTAATTTGTGGACTTTGTTTGTTTGTCTTTCATGTGTTTTTGATTCCAGGAGGTATGTACCTTTAAACCCCTCAGCTTTAATGCACTGCTTTGCATCTGAGCCCCCCCCCCCCCCCCTCTCTCCTCCTCCTTGCTTCTACCCACACTGGCACATTTGGATTAAGATTAAAGAAAAAAAACTCTTGGGCTGTATTCTTTAAAAAAAGATGGTTTGCCATTTGAAGTGGGGTTGTGTCAGCTGCTTGTTTAGAGACCGGCACAGGGGCTAAGAAATGTCCTGCTGTGAACAGGCATCAGAAAAACACATTTTAGCCTGCTCTAAACGAAAAGCTATTTATTTTAGTGTACAACATATTTATAATATCTTTACCTTTCCATCAGACAGCCCGCTCTGAAGGGGGACTGAAGCCGTTGTCTCCAAAGCAACCAGACTCAATTGTTGAAAACAGTTCTCCAAGAAACACACCATTATTCTCCGTCTGCCACGATCACTTAGTTTGTAGATGTTATTTTCTGACTTTGTTGAATCTGAACTCAACCCAAAGTCATTCACAACAACAAACAAATTAAAGGATTGAGTCAGAACAGCAACTCCCTTGTTCTGCGAGGTAGAATGACTGTTTTTGCCAATGTTGTCTGGCAGCTTTGAAGAGAGCATAAATGGGTATGAAGGCTTTAATTCCCCGTCGGTAAGGGCTGTCTGGCGGCAAGGTGGATCAAAGAAATGATTCTGAACATGGCATACACTGATTTATTTTTCAAGGTAGGCCTGTCTTTTAGTTGGCTTAAATATGATCCCTTTCCACAGCAGTACATGTCTCAGCTTCTGTATGAATGGAGCCCTGTTGACATCCATACACTGATGATATGGAGAAGAACCTCATACACCCCCAGTTCAAAACTCACAAACTATGCCTATAAGCCCAGATGTGAAAAGAAGTGATTTCACATCTGTTTCTAACTGCTGGCCACTGACCCAAGTTCTAACCCTCCACGATGAGTTCCGCTCTATATTTAACTGCTGATGTGTGCCGTCACTGTGCTTCAGACTCGCCGCTGCTGTATGAAGTTCAGCTTTCTGCTTCAGCAAATAAAATGTTATGTCTTCACTGCAGTCAGAGCTCACCTGTAATCTGTCCTCAGGAGGGCGAGTTAAGACCTGGAAGAGACGCTGGTTCATTCTCACAGATAACTGCCTCTACTACTTTGAGTACACGACTGTAAGTAATTACCGCTTGGCTTTTATAATGCCCCTTTCACACCAACGCGTTTCACAGCTCCGGCTCGGAGCTGGAGCCTGAAAAGTGCCAGTTTTTCCTGTTCACACCGCAGCGGCGCCGCCTCTTAGCTCCGGAATCCGGTTCACTTCCAGCTCCAAAATATTGTCGGTCTAGAGGCAAGAGCTTCGGAGCTAAGAGGTGGCGTCGCTTACATCTCTCTTACGTCGAGGCGTGCAGGAAACTAAACCCACCTCCCCTGAACATGGGTCGACTGTCATGCCTGCCTACAAGCAGTAGTGCTTAAAAACACACTTTATAAAGTCAAGGCAAGGCAAGGCAAGGCAAGTTTATTTATATAGCACTTTTCAACACAAGGTAATTCAAAGTGCTTTACAAAAAATGAAAGACATTAAGAAAAAGGCATTTAAAATCAGTCATTAAAAAGAAAAGCTAATGAAATAAACATTAAAAGAAAAAATACATGGATAAAAGTTTCAGTGCAGTTTAAGATATGAATAGTTCAATTAAACATTAAAAGAAAAAATACATGGATAAAAGTTTCAGTGCAGTCTAAGATATGAATAGTTCAATTAAAATAAAAAATAAAAGTCTTCAGCCTGGATTTAAAAGTAGTCAGAGTTATAGCGGACCTGCAGGTTTCTGGGAGTTTGTTCCAGATATTTGGAGCATAACAACTGAACGCTGCTTTACCATGTTTAGTTCTGACTCTGGGGACAGAAAGCTGACCAGTCCCTGAAGACCTGAGAGATCTGGATGGTTCATAATTTAGCAGGAGGTCAGAAATGTATCCTGGGCCTAAACCATTCAGTGCTTTATAAACCAGCAGCAGTATTTTGAAATCTATTCTTTGACACACAGGAAGCTAGTGTAAAGACTTCAGAACTGGAGTGATGTGATCCACTTTCTTAGTGTTAGTGAGGACTCGAGCAGCAGCGTTCTGAATTAGCTGCAGCTTCCTAATAGATTTTTTAGTGAGACCTGTGAAGACACCATTGCAGTAGTCGAGTCTACTGAAGATAAAAGCATGGACAAGTTTTTCCAAATCCTGCTGTGACATTAGTCTTTTAATCCTAGATATGTTCTTTAGGTGATAGTAGGCTGATTTAGTAACTGTTTTAATGTGACTGTTGAAACTCAGGTCAGAGTCCGTGACTACACCTAGATTTCTTGCTTTATCTGTTGTTTTGAACATTGCAGACTGAAGCTCACCGCTAACTTTTATACGTTCTGCCTTGGCTCCAAAAACCATTACCTCAGTTTTATCTTTGTTTAATTGGAGAAAGTTCTGACACATCCAGTCATTGATTTGTTCAATGCACTTACTCAGTGTTTGAATTGGAGCATAGTCTCCTGGTGAAATTGTTACGTAAATTTGTGTGTCATCTGCATAGCTATGGTAACTTATTTTGTTGTTTTTCATTATCTGAGCCAGTGGTAGCATGGCAAAGTCAGGCAACACTAACCAGGCTTCGTGTGATTCTGTTTATTTGTACCTTACTTTGACCATCCGTTCAGCTAACGGGAGAATAAACTCCCGTGGAAGAGCAGCCAACACGGCAGCGGTCGGTAAATGCCGCAGAAACACATTAATAAACAATGAACCACGACACTCTGGGGAAAAGCATAAGGTTGGAGAAGTCGTTATTTTATTTAATCTGGCTTCGTGCGATTAAAAGCAACACGATCATCGACCCGACGCAGTTGTTGTTGTGTGAGCGCGGTAACGCCGTTGGGGAGCAAATCAGCGATGTAAACGGTGACGTCATGACGCAGCAGCGGCAGCACCAGTCGGGCTCTGGGCGGTGTGAACAGAGCGGGAGCAGAAAAGGGAAACCGGAGCTGAACCAGAAAAGCTCTAGCTCAGAGCTAGAAAGGGGAAAGCGCTGGTGTGAAAGCCGCATGAGAGAAGAGATACATGCTGTATGAAGGCTTCAACAGAACCGAAGATGTATTCTCCTCTCATCTCTTTTGTTTCCAAGGATAAAGAACCCAGAGGAATTATTCCACTGGAGAATCTGAGTATCAGAGAAGTCGATGACTCCAAGAAACCGGTAAACTATATTCTCTTTGTGATGCATTTTGTCGTATGATTAAACTTTTCTGCTGGTTCACCCTCCAAATCAGATCTTTGTGTCAGAAGAGTAAAACTACCATAAAACAAGATAATGTAGCTATCATTTGGTGACGCTCTCAAAATATGTCGATCTTCCTTCAAATGAAAATATAATGTCCGGACTGATGGATTTAAATATAGTAAAGTGTCCGTTTTTTTCCAGTTTATAAATCAATAGTTTAAAGATTTGTTCCCTGTATTCTTTTTTTATATATATATATGATTTGTCATCAGGAAATCTATTTGAATGAGTGTTTTTGCTCCTTCCTGACTCATCTCGTCATGCTGTTCTCCAGAACTGCTTCGAGCTGTTCGTCTCCGACCACAGAGATCAGGTGATCAAAGCCTGCAAGACGGAGGCAGACGGCCGCGTGGTGGAGGGAAACCACACTTTCTACAGGATCTCCGCCCCGACCGCAGAGGAGAAGGACGAGTGGATCAACAGCATCAAGTGAGTGGCACTTCAGCTCTCGCTTTGTCCTGCAGCGGATCACTGTACTGTCTCGTATCTAACCCTCCTTCCTCCTCCTCCTGCAGAGCCGCCATCAGCAAAGACCCGTTCTACGAGATGCTGGCTGCCCGGAAAAAGAAAGTGTCGTCTCTGAAAGGGCTGTAGCGCTGCGAGGATGAAACACTGTGGACCTGAAACTCCTCCTCCTGCTAAACTGACATTTGGACCTGACGGAGAGAAGTTTGCTTTTAAAGCTCTTCCTCTGTCCCCTTCAGTACCGACACCTCTCTCTCTACAGGTTTGACCTTGTGTTTAAAGTTTCTCTCCCCATCTAGAGATGATAGGACAGCACTCTCTGTCCTCTGTCTTTATCTTCCTTTTGGACCCTTCTTCAGTGCTATACCTCCTTTATACACTGTGTGGTCTGCTGTGGTACAGCAAGGCTCTACTACAGAGGCACTAAGAACATTATATGTTAGTTAGGAAGTTTAATATCAAAATGGGTCAGGGTGTAATATTCAGAGAAAAACACAATTTGGAAGGAAAAAGCTAGGAAGTTCTGTCAGTCTCAGAATGTCTGAGAAAAAACAAGCAAACGTTTATGTTATGAGATTATCAAGCATAACATTTAAGCGGAAAAAAATCTGGGTTGTGATCACAAGTAGTTAATAGGTCATCCATTACAGGTCAATGACACAATATGGCAAGCTGGGGCGTATTGCTGTGATGATCCAGCATGCCAAGTGAAGCGATGTGGTTCCCTTAAAAACAACCCGCAATTTTCGGTGTTAAATAACCCTTCTCCTAATAGAAGCTAATAACCTACAACGGCGCTGATAAGCCGTTGTTCTCCACAGCTCTACGAGGAGATGTTCTCGGTCAGAATGAAACTGTAAAGTGGACCTATCATGCTATATTTGAATAATATATTGTAGGGTCATACCTATATAAAACATGTCTGAAGTTTTTTTTTCAAAATACCAAACAGATCATGCATTTTACACATGCTGTTACCATGCCACGCAACCTCTCACGCCCCTGATAGGTGGAGAGTTGCCCATATAGGCGGAGCTCCTCGTTCCTGACGTCAGAACAATTTCAAATCCGTATCAGATCCGTTGCAGCCCCGTTTTTAGAAATGTGGATATGGAGGAAAAGAGAGGGTTGTGTTTGCTGACACTTGGTGAGTTCCCTGACACACCAGGGACACGTATTCATGTATACAAGACGTACAAAAGTACATTTTGCATGATAGGTCACCTTTAAGATATTTTGTTTTAGTTGAACACCTACTGTTTTTTGATAAAAGCCTTTCTCCACCTTGTGAAAGTTGCAGCACATTTCAACACAAGGATGGGGATCAGCTGATGAAGGAATCACATGGCACAATAATGTGATTCAGAGCAGCTTTCGGAGAGTCTGAAGTTTGAGATTCAATTTCTGTTACAATATAGAAATCACATGGGTAAACAAATGTTGTCATCTCGTTTGGGATGCTGGACTTTATTGTACAAAATGCTCTTTTCTAAATCTGTTTTCTTACTGCTGTTGGTCACATGTCAAAGCACTGTTAATGAAAGTGATGCATAAATAGCTACATATTTATTTATCCAGATTTCTTGTAACTTATTATTTTGAGATTTGTCTCATTAAAAGTCTGAAAAACCAACACTTTTACTCATTTAACTTGTTCATTTGCAATACATTGTGTTCTTATGTTGCTATAAAGCTGTGGGTAAGAGTGCACCAAACAAAGAGTCACACCTTTGAAGTCATTTTAAAAACTCGTCCACATCGTCCTTTAATTTACAAAGATAATCACAAACACTGTACATTTAGCTTTGATTACTGCTGTAAACTCTCTTAACGGTTATTAGGCTCCTCCAGGGATTGTTTTATATCGCAGCTTGAAGAAATGCATTGCAGTGGTAGGAAGTAGTTTTTTAAAATGTTGTAGTAGAAAAACAGTTAAAACTATAATGTGATGACATCAGGTGGTGAAACAATCTAACAGTAACAGCTGTGCAGGTAAACCAGGATCTGGAGTTTGATACAAAAAGAAAGTTTACAATTCACCACATACATCTCTCATGTATGTTAAAGTCACTTCCTGGGACACACTGATGAGAGTTATAGCCAAGGTGAGGTTGTCTCCCATCTGCGGACTCCGGTGTGACCTTCAACATCAAGACGAAAGGAAACCAGTCTTTCTCCCTCTAAACATAAAAACACAGAAAGATGTTCACTTTTCATTTACCTTACTATTTAAATAGTGACTTTTTGAGGAACTGTGTGATGTGAAGGCTGAAAGAACAAAACATAAGTTAACAGACAATCAATTTTAACTAGTTTTATTGTAATATAAAACACAATTGTTGCAATTATTTTGCACTTTCTGTACTTTAAATATAGTGAACGTGAAGTATGCCATGAACAAATTGAACAGAAAGTAGACGTTGCTAAAAAGTAATATAGTATGTCCTGAAATGTCATTTAATGAAATAAAAAAAATAAAAAGGCACATTTATTCTCCAAGTATAGTATTCCAAAAATAAGAAAATACACTTGGCAAGATTTATTTATCTACCAGTAATGTACAAGCCCTGTGAGCATTATGCTAATGTCTCACAAGTGGTTAGTTCAATGTGTGAAATCCCAGTGTCACCACTAGAGGGCAGACAGCTCCACCCTGACTGACCCTCAGAGGAACCTGTTGTCTCTAGTTTCTAACAATAGACAGCCTGTGCTGACAAAAAGGACTTTCAAAAACATTCCTTTAACCGGTAAGGCTATTGTTGGAGACTGCGTTTGTTTTTTCCTCTGCCAGGAAAACAAGATGAGATAAGCAATAACAGAGGTGACAATGCCAGAGGATACAAAGCACGAATGAGAGTGGACAAACTGCTCCAGGACCCTAACAGACAACATTCAGACAACAAACAGTATCCAAAAGAACAGGAATTACATTCTAAGCTGTGACATCATATGTCATACTATACTCTGACAGAAGATAACATTTTGGGTTTTTTTCATTAAAAGAATCAGACAGTGTTTGTATTATTTAACACTAAAGAGCCTTTTCTGTTGTCTTCTAAATATGTTCTAAGTTCAACACAACCTTTAACCTCAGGTTACAGATGCCAAACATCTGTTTGTTAGTGTCACCGTGCCGGTAAGTCCTTTCAACACTGATACGTAAAACAAAAGGCCTGAATGTGCTGATGCTAATCTGTGCTGTGTGAAAGATGATCTCTTTACAACTGTTTCATTTTGGCAGCGGATCACTCAATATATTTTAGATTTCCTCGAATATGTGCAGGTAGCGTTCAGAGGCCGTCCGTTTACCGTCATTTCTCAGCCTGTGACGCTTCCTGTTCAGAGAAACTGACAGAAAAAACCTGATACTGCAGCTTTCCTTTTGGCCAGGCCTTGACTTTATGAAATGAATACGTCTTCCTTTTCGAGTGAGAAGTTGATGTTTTCATGTCTTCCTGCAGCTTTTATTTCCACAAAAAAAACATGTAAAAGTGTTAATTCTTGCGATGAACTCCCTGACTTCACCTCTCCAGGTCCAGACTCGAGGTAACTGAAACCACCCGTCAGATCCTCAGCATACCCCGGTGCTGACTCACTTCTTGATAGGAGTGAATCAGCCCCTCTCTGTCCCCCCCCCCCTCCCCGCTCTCTCACTGTGGTGCTCTGGGCTGCTGGGAAGGCGAGGACGAGACCTGAGATTTTAGACGCGCCGCAATGACTGCAGGGCAGGCATTTCAGAGAAGCCACAGCCTGTCTTACTGTGGGCGTGTGCTTCTGTGCAGTATGCTCAAGGCTGAATGTTGTCTAGTAGGCAGAAAAATATCATTAAAAAAAATGAAAGCAATGCACAATGTAAAACAAATATTTTAAAGAGAAATTCTTATTTTCTGCAATTTAAGTGCACTTTTGACAATGTGCTTTATTTGGGAAAGCAACATTTTCATTCTATAAAAAGGGATTTTTCTGTCCAAATAATTAATTTTAGTTCAATATTTTCTCTTCTTTTAGCTCTGGTTTGGTCTCTACCAACTGAGGGTAAATATCTGGCTCTTAAGCTGCTATATTCTCCACTTGGTTCATCAGCTAGTTTCCCACTTGTTTTAATTGTGCGGGGCAGGTAGTGTACAGTGTGTTTGTTGGGTATATTCACTGAAAACAGCTGCCCGTTGAGTCTGGAGCATTGATGGAACACAGAGAAAAACTGTTGTGGCTGAAAGAATCTAAAACGCTTTATACTGTAGATCTGAGTGTAACTGCAGAGCAAGATCACAACTCTCTGTAGGTCATTTGATCAATTGTTTATTTAAAATAAATGATTTGCAAAACTTTTTTAAATGTCCAATAGAACTTTCTTTCCTCACTAAAATAAAATAGGCTGCTCCACCAAAGCCATATCCTTGGTCGCAACATTAAGAAAAAAGGTAATTTAGATCCTCCTAGAAATGTAATGGAGTCGTCCTTGGCCCATGCTACACCCTTCTATCTAGTATTATAAAATTAGGCTAACATCTTTGTTTGTTAATCCTGCTGACAAACAGGAATAACCAATCAAACCAGAAGCAAATCCTTGATTGTTGAGGTATCATAGGTGAATGCTGTGTGTAGTGAGTGTGTACATGTGTGTGAGATCACCTGGTGGCGTCTCAGAAGAAGTTCTTGATGAGGGGAGTGACTAATTTCACCCACAACTTGACGTGACGGTCCGGCTGCTCGAACGTAGAGCTTGACACCTCGGTGGAGCGCTGATACAACCTCTCCTGCTCCTGAGAGGCACACAGTATAACACACAGTATAACAAACAGTTCAACACACAAAATAACACAGGTGTGCGTTCAGTGCAGAGTCACACAGTCATTCATCATCATCATCATTTCCTGCGGTTGACCCACCTCCTGCAGCTGGCTCTGCAGCGCCTTGTTCTCCGTCACTATGGCGATCTGGGCCTCCAGGTCACGGTGAACCGAGCGGTATCCGAAATTAGGGGAGCCAATTAGAGTGAGGCAAGGCCGGTCCTTCCCCTGGAGGTAATACCACAGACCTGTGAGGAGAGGAAGAGTGCAGCGAGCTTCAGAGAGACGCTTCCAGCAGGGATCTCAGACCACAACTAAGAGGAAGCACATGCAGAAAATCCCCAGCACAGATCCAAAACCCCAAAGCATGAGGGAGCGTGAGTGTACATCCTTGCCCCGGGGCTACGGCGCGATGAGTGTACGAGCCCTCCTCTCACACGCTACATACCGCTGCGACCACAAGAAGAGCAGCGGAGCAGGGAGAGTGATGCGTTATTAGTTTCACCCAGCCAAACAAAACTAGTCTGGATGCTGAGCCCTGGATAATGCCACCTACACACTATGACTGTGTGGCACATTAGAATATTCTAATGTCTCATAATGGGGAGTGTTGAACTGAAGGAACCCCCGACAAATCTGTCTGTTGTCAGGGAGTCCAAAAACAGGCGAGAAGTGAAATGGGAACAGCTGCCAGACCTAGAATGGATGTCTGCAAGTAGCTAGTGCTACAAGTTGTTTGTCTGTGATTTGTAGCAGAATCAAGGAAGAAAAAGAAAAGAATATGCAGAGAGAAAATGTATACGCTTGTCATAACGTAGGTAGCTGACTGCTTTTGTTGTGGCTTAACCAGTATATATATATATTTGTGCAATGGCTTTAGGTCACTGCTGTCAATGCAAGTCAAGATGTCCACACTGGAGACAGGCCACGATGGATGACCTGCTACTTCTCTTTTCGATTGCTTCTTCATAATTCTCAGAAGCAAAAAACATCATTTACCTGCACCCTTTGTCTCAGTTTGTCTTGAAAAACTTCCTTGTTGACTTAAAATCACTAAAATAATCACACTGTGAAATATTCTCAGTGTCCTGCTTAAGTCTAAAAAAAAAAAACGACTTCTTTTTGTAAGCTTATGTGCATATATGGCCCTGTCAGTACTATATATACAGATGAACTATATGTCCCTTGATCTGTTTCTAATCATTGAGTATCACTACAAGCTCTGCTGCTGATCATGTGAGGATGTGACCATAATGCCAAATGCAGATATAAATGTACAACTGAATCGAAGCGCTCTAGACGTGTGTGTGTTTCTGAAAAGGAAAATCTTTAGGCTTTTATAGAGGTTCAATTTGGCTCAGGGCATATTTTTAGACAACTTTTACACTAATTAGTAGTTGAAAAAGTAATTACCATAAGATCATGACCGTTAGTCGTTGATACAGGTGTGTGTGTGTGTGTGTGTGTGTGTGTGTGTGTGTGTGTGTGTGTGTGTGTGTGATCCCACCTTTGGCGTGGAAGGTCCACTCTGGCCGGTGGTACTCGTGCAGGTGTATCCTCTCCTGCTGGCCCAGAGAACACACCTGGTTGTAGAACTGCCTGGCGATGTGCACGTAGGCCGCTGGGATGGCCCCGGCCACGCCCTTGGCTCCGAAGAAGCCGTTGACCTCGGGTGAGGCGGTGAGGATGTGGTACCCGGCGCCGGCCCCGAGCACCAGACGCATGTACGCCCGCGTCAGGTTGAAGTACCCCGACGTCAGGAACACGGTTGAGTTCGGCCCGGCGTCTTTCAGCAGGCGCTGGAGGGGGAATAACGACAAAATGGTTTTATTTCCAGAACTTATGAAGAATAAAACACTAGCTTTGACCTGAGAATGGTTATTAGTGTTTTATTATCGCTTATTACATAAGGCTCATTATAGAAACACAATCTAGACTTGTCATATTTATCTTGATAACAATAAAAGTAATATGAGGATATTTCCTTCTTCCTGTTGGCTCACGTCTGATTAATTGTGTCTTGATTGATTACTGTATTTAGAGGTGGAGTTCTGCTGGGTTCCGTTTGGGTGAGAGGTTATTGTAGCTCATCTGTATTAGAGATTAATAATACGTTTGTATAGTGTCAAACCATTTCATTTTTATATTTAAAGAATCTGGGGCATTTGTTCCCAAAAACAAAAAAACATGAAACCAAATTGATTAGTGTTTATTCTTATTTTTAAACGTATAAAATAGTTATGGACCCACTATTTAATGTATTTCATGGTGCATACTACCAACAGGTCATTTTCCTTCTCTCCCTATTTTCAATATGTTCTGCATCTGAGACCTTGTTACCTTTTTAAGCAACAGTGGTCAACTCCTTCTTGTGGAAGGAAGCAGCAAATGTTTAATCTTCTTCTTTTAAGAAAGGCTGGTTCTTCTCTATCTGCACATCAGCCACATCACCACTGGTTGATTCAAAGAAACCAAAAGTGAACTACTATTGGAATAAATTCAGCCTGTTGCAACAAGTTCTTTATTTTTTGGTAAACGGCAGATGAGACACTGTTGAATCAACTTTGTACAGAACAAGCCTCTGTTATTACATTACAGTTATCACTCCATCATTTTATTGTTCATTCCCAGAATAAGTGACTAATAAACCGGGAATAAATGCTCAAACATGTACTCACTGTTTATTGGTACATGTCTCATTTCATTAGTCACATGTCCAAATTAATCCAATCAACCTCAAAATAAACTCTTTGTAATCATATTGCCACTGGGGGGGGGGGGGGGGGAATAACAAAGATCAATTTAAATAAAGCACTGAAAACAATAAAAATATCTGACAGTTTGGTCAGAGTTTATACATAAGTTGGAACCCTTGCCTCTCACTTGGGCCATCTTTGACTTTGACCTTGTTAATGCAAACAAGGCATGAATTCAAAAAGTTGTTTTTCCAATTTTTGAAGATCAACCTCAGCTCCTGTAATAAGTCTATAATGAACTGTGAAGCGAACATACAGACACACAGACAGTCCCAATGAAACTCATTAAAACCAGAAATGTCATATGCATTCTGTTATATGAGGCCTTTCATTTGAAGCCCTGGCTTACAAGTTGTAGTTTTTACTAGTGGCTTCCTGCACAAAAACTGCAAATGCCAGAAAATCAATAATAGAAATATGACAATTGGCATGACATGTTCAAAATTGAGACAAAATCCTGTTAGCATTTAGCATAAAGAGTGGCATTATTTATAACATATGACGAACATCACACAAGAGACATTAAAAAAGATACAATTCTGAAAATGGTTGAACAGTGGGTGGTTATTATGTTGATTTAAACATTTAACTCTATGAAAGTGGACAACAATATTAGTATATATAGTGTTATGGTGGCTTTTGAGGCGGTCAAATAGACATTTGGTTAAAATGTGACCAATGACAGACGGTCGCTGTGTGTGCGTGTGTGTGTGTCTGTGTGTGTTGAGCCTGACCTGTGTGACCTGCTCATCCACCTGGATCCCCAGAGGTTTCATCTGCACCAGAGGGAACACCCAGGTGTCCTCCCCCCCGTCGCTCAGCCCCCCGTCACTCAGCCCCTCGTCCTCAGAGTCCTCCGGCCGGTTAGTCAGCTGCTGCCTCATTTGGGCCGTGTTCACCACCTCCATGATACGCTTCCTCGCCGCTGTCGAGAAGTCTTGCCGGTTGCCTGCGGAGACAGAGCGTAAACAAAGCTGAGGAGGGTCACACTGATCTCTGGGTCATAGTAACCCAAGGGTGCTTGGGATTATTTACAGCCACTTAGGGGCATGAAGCAGAAAGGAGGATGTTGTTTGAAATGACAACACAACCTCAGCAAACGAGCTGGAAAATGCTTGTTTCTGATTGGCTGGCAAGTGACTATTAAAACTAGTAGACTAGATATCTTACAAAGGTTCTGGTATAAGTCTAAAAGGTGTTTTCAGACAGAGAGCAAAGGAAATGTTTGACCTGCATGACGCAGAAGACTAACTGGAGTAGAACACTAAAATCCTAACGATTCACAGATTACTCATTATCAAACCTTAGTGTTCTTCAGTTGCTCACCAACTGACTCAAACGTCCTCTTCCTCCTCCTCCGTTTTTTCAGTACGTCAATGTTTTATCAGTTGTTAATGTTTTCACTAGATATTATGCGTGTCAGCTCCATATCGTCTTTCACCCACACTGTGACATCACAACTCTATTCCTGGTGTTCGTTACCACGGCGCTCAAGTCCTGTAGACATGATGTCATCCATCCCTCAAACTCACATCCTGGCAGTCTGCGCTCCAGTTACGGACACAGTACTGGAGTGTGTTTGAGTGTTTGAGTGTGTGTGTGTGTGTGTGTGTGTGTGTGTGTGTGTGTGTGTGTGTGTGTGTGTGTGTGTGTGTGGAGAAGATTCTGACAATTTCACATCCGGCTACATGGCTAGCCAACCGCAATACCTCTCTCAATCATTCTCACTGTACAAACACACACTCTCACACACTGACCATCATCTATTTGCCTGTCTAAGCTTTCAGGCTCCATTAGCGTAATCCATCGGCTCCTCTTGCTGAAAACTGGGACACTGCCACCGTTACCGAGCATGAAGTGTCAAAACATGTTGGAGGGTAAACATGCGTCTGTGTGCTGTACTGTACACACACACACACACACACACGTACACACACAAGTCCTGTTTCTACCTTTGTACGGGTGCACCATGCCCTCCAGCATTGTGACCGAGTCGTCGGGCTGCAGCTGCAGAGAGACGTCGCCCACGGCCTCCACCAGGTCGGCGAAGAAGTCGGCGACCTCCCCGCAGTTCTCCAGCAGCACGTAGCGGTCCTGTCTGTTGGTGAAGTACGAGTCGCTCAGGTTGGCCCTGAAAGTGAGGGGGAGGGACCTTTAATAAACTGGGGCAACACAACACAATAGACAAAAGAGGAAAAAAGGTTGTTTGGTAAAATGTCTTTCTATGAGTGTAAGACGGGTTCAGAAAAATACACGTAATCATTTGGTCATCTTGAAAGAAAATGTTCCACACATTTTTTAAATTATTATTATTATATATATATTTATTTTTACATGTAAATATACATTTTCTTTCCCCACTACTTTTTGTTGTCATAATGTTATGTTTAGATTTCCTTTTTTATACATCCATTTTTATTTATTTTTTTGTTATCCCTAACTTTTCTCCTTAAGTTTAGGGAAGGTCAGTTGTATGAACCTGTGGCTTCTTGACCTCTCCTGATACACATATTATTTTTTCATTATCTGGATTTGACTTCTATCTGTGCGGTCACATTTTGGATCACATTCTTGTACATTCTGTTTTAATTATTTGCATTATCTTTATTAGAATGTTGCACCTTTTGCACAATTGTATTTATATAGCACCTTTCAGCACGCGACAATTCAAAGTGCTTTACAAAATAAAAACAGAAAAAGATTTAAGAATAAATACAGCATAAACACATTATTAAATGAAATAAATAAGCACAGCAGGTACAGAATACATGAATAAAAGGCATACTGCAGTGTGAGTATGAACAGCTCAATTAAAAGCAGCAGAAAATAGATATGTTTTTAGTCTGGATTTGAAAATAGGAAGTGTTTCAGCGGATGTGCACGATTCAGGCAGTTTGTTCCAGATTATCGGGGCATAATAGCTAAACGCTGCTTTTCCATGTTTAGTTCTTATTCTTGGAACAGAGAGCAGGCCCGACCCAGAGGACCTGAGACTCCTGGATGGTTCATAGTTATGTAGGGGATCGTTTATATACCTCGGTCCTAAGCCATTTAGTGATTAAAAACTAGCAATAGTATTTTAAAATCAATTATTTGGTCGACTGGAAGCCAGTGTAAAGACTTCAGAACCGGACTGATGTGATCCACTCTTTTAGTGTCAGTGAGGACTCGAGCAGCAGCGTTCTGAATCAGCTGCAGCTTTCTGATGGATTTCTTTGTCAGCCCTGTGAATACACTATTGCAGTAGTCGAGTCTACTGAAAATAAAAGCATGGACAAGTTTCAAGCAAATCCTGTTGCGACATTAGTTTTTTTAATCCTTGATATATTCTTCAGGTGATAGTATGCAGACCTAATAACTGTTGTAATGTGACTGTTACAATTCAGGTCTGAGTCCATCACTACACCTAGATTTCTAGCTTTATGAGTTACTTTGTAGTCTGCCGACTGAAGCTCTGCGATTACTTTTAATCGGTCCTTCTTTGCTCCAAAAACAATGATCTCAGTTTTTTGTTTGTTCAATTGGAGAAAGTTCTGAGTCATCCAGTCAGTGATGTGCTCAATGCACTTGCTCAGTGTTCTAATCAGAGAGTAGTCTCCTGGTGTAATTTTAAAATAAATCTGGGTGTCGTCTGCATAGATATGATAGCTTAGATTGCTGTTTTTAATCATTTGAGCAAGTGGTAGCATATAGATATTAAAAAGAAAAGGTCCTAAGATGGAGCCTTGAGGAACCCCGCATGACATATTTGTCAGGGTTGATTTGTAATTGCCTATTGAGACAAAGTTTGTTCTGTCCTTTAAGTAGGAACTAAACCAGTTTAGAGCTGTTGCTGAAACTCCCACCCAGTTTTCTAGACGGTCTAGCAATATCTTGTGGTCAACAGTATCAAAGGCAGCGCTGAGATCTAATAATACTAACACTGATATTCTGCCACTGTCTGTGTTTAAATGGATGTAATTTAAGACCTTAACAAGAGAAGTCTCAGTGCTGTGGTTTGGTCGAAAGCCTGACTGGAACACATCAAAACCGTCAGTTAAAAACATGAAATTACTCAACTGTTGAAAAACTACTTTTTCAATGAATTTGCTTAACAAGGGAAGGTTTGATATTGGCCTGTAATTATTCATTACGGTTGTGTCTAGGTTATGCTTTTTTAGGAGCGGTTTAATTACTGCAGTTTTCAGGGCCTGTGGAATTACACCTTAGTGGAGGGACTTGTTTACTATGTGTAGTATATCTGAGGCCAAGCAATGAAAAACTGTTTTGAAAAATCCTGTACAAGAGAAGAGACTCAAAAGATGAGGACTCCATAGGACTAGTGTGAAATATACAGAATAATCCACCGACCCGCTGATGATGATGCTGTCGTCGAACAGGTAGACTTTGATGTGCTGGACCCCGATGGTCTCGTTGAAGCGCTGCGGGACAAGCAGCCGCAGCAGCCCCCTCAGGTCGGGGGTGTGGTACAGAGAGACCCTCATCTGAGAGGTGAAGCGCTGCAGCAGCGGCAGCAGCATGGTCCTGGAGTTAATCTGTCCTGCAGAGAAAACATGAGCACAGCAGGAGGATGAGCGCGGGGTGCTAACCAGAGGAAACACAAGAGATCTGATGAGTGAAAACAACCTCTAGAGCCGCGGGTGTAATCCAGCAGCACGGACACCTTGAGGTCGGGGGAGTCGCTGTTGTCCTGTGAGCGCTGCAGGGCGTCCTCCATGCAGTCCACCTTCACAGACACAGGGGAAGCATTGAAGAGACATCAGAACATGAGTTAAAGGGTAATGCACAGATTTAGCTGCAGCCGTATAACACTGTTAAACTCACAATGGACGATTTAAAAGAAAGACATCAAAATCACTGCAGCAAAATATCGTCATTTTCAACTAACGACTTATTATTCTTGGTCAGAAATAGACAGCAAGACTTTGAATATACATGTTCAACCACCCCTTGCACAACGCGGTCTTAAGTAGCACTTAAGTGGGGGTCTCAAGTAGGAGAAAAGTAATCAGCAACAATTTTAATGAATAAGCATTTTTAAGTAATTAGTCATGCAAAATACATGAAAATCTTAGTTTTCAACTTCTTAAATTTAGAGTATTGAATACTTTTCTTTTTGAAAATCATTGTAAATATAATATTATTGATATTAAGACATTTTATAATTTGTATTTAATTAAGTATGAAGCATAAATCAAGGTAACACACCTACTTTCACAATTGCCTTATGAATTGATGGATTGAGGACAGTAGTGTTGCAGTCATTGTGCCTTGGCTCTCTAACTCCTCTCATCTTGTTTACACTTCTCACTCCTTGCCATAGTGAATAAAATATCCCTTTTTTGTGCACAGATGCATTTCCTGTGTTGCTGCTATAACACCTGAATTTCCTACGGGAATCTATCTTATCGTATCGTATCGTATCAGTTGTTACCTTGAAATGAAGCCACGTTTTAGGGCTTAAAGTAAGTAAGATTGGACTGATATGAACGTGAAATTAAAGCAAGCTTCTGACTGAAGTTATCTCTTGAACAGTTCTTCCAGATAAGACCACTCAAAGAAACACACAACTCTTATCTGGTCTTCCTTGTTCTTGCCACACTTCCCAGTACTTGAGTATTTGTGAATGTTCCTAAGAGCAGTAGATTATTGATTACTATGGAGCAGACAGTTTATTAATCACTGGCACCCTTTTGTGAGCGAGCATGGGAAAAGCCATTTAAGAGAGGAAATGCTCTTCAGAGGGCATCACTGGTAGCGAAGTATCTATTAGTGACGAGCTCTGCATTTGTTCCCCACGTTTGACTAAATTGGGCATCTGGTGCCCAAATGCATTTTTTATACGTCACTCTCAAAACCTTGAGGCGATATATCCGACTGTTCTGTAGAAACAAAGGCCTTTGTTGGAGCCATTTATTTTTTAATACTATAACATGTTTTTCCTTGCTGTTTTTGTTTATATTACATTTCAAATTATTTATTGAAATTATTTAAAGGTGGGGTAGGTAATTTTGGAGAAACCAGCTCGAGTGCGCTAGAATTTGAAAATACACAACCGGAACAAATCTGCCACTTCCTTACAGAGCCCCTTCTCCAACACACACAAACGCGCACATGACCAATGAGGGCACGAGATAAGTTTGTGCACAGATGGAAGGCTGACAGGCAGGCAGGCCATCCAGTTACTTTAGCCGGGCCGGCTAAAATGATTGGTCGTGCTTTTTACAGTACCACGGCTTCCACAGATGACGTTTTTTTATGGATTTGTTGTCAAAGCACTTAAGATATTCATTGCTATCGGGATGTTAAGAGCATTCCATGGAATATAACAAAAAGTGTATCTCGAGCCGGTTTCTCAAACTTACATACCCCACCTTTAAGTTAAATTAGAGTAATTGTTCATGCTTTTATTTTGAAGGCAGTTTTGGGCACCTGGTGATAGGCATACCTTGGAGACAGGTGGTGGTGGGATTAGAGCACCAGTGTCAAAGGTCAAAAGGAGAAGTAATTGTTCTGCACAAAAGTATGGCCCTCCCGCTGTACTTCTCGGAGACTTCAACCTCCAGACAGGGAAGATAGACGAACTAACATCTCTGTTAACCGCCTTTGCTTTCTCACTGTCTCCATCCCCACCAACTCATAAAGCTGGCAATGTCCTTGATCTCATATTCTCAAGGAACTGCACTACTTCTAACCTCTCTGTAAACCCACTCCACACATCCGATCACTTCTTCATTTCATTCTCTCTACCCCTTTCCAAACATAACGAACTAATCTCTTCTCATCCTGCACCGGTCCGCCGTAACCTTCATTCCCTCTCCCCCTCTACCTTTGCCTCGTCGGTGCTCTCAGCCCTCCCTTCCTCTGACTCGTTCCAACTCCTACCTCCAAACTCTGCTGCAGAAACTCTCCTCTACTCTCTCATCCTCTCTGGACTCTCTCTGTCCTCTCACATCTCGGCAGGCTCGTAAGTCCCCTCCTGCTCCCTGGCTAAATGAGGCACTGCATGCTAATAGAACCGTCCTTCGGGCAGCAGAGCGGAAACGGTGGAAATCCAAACACCATGACGACCTTCTAACCTATCAGGCTCTCCTCTCCTCTTTCTCTGCTTCGATCTCTCAGGCAAAAAGCACTTTCTTTCAAGATAAGATCCAATCTTCCTATTCCAATCAACTATTTTCCATCTTCTCCTCCCTCCTGGACCCCCCCAAAGCCCCTTCCCCCTTCTGTCAAGCGACTTTGTTACCCACTTTGAAAAAAAGGTTGATGATATTCGCTCTTCTTTTTCTGACTCACCTTTACTCCCCACTGGGTCACCAGACCCTCCTTTCACCCACACACTGACCTCCTTTTCCCCTCTCTCTCCAAGTGAGGTTCTTACCCTCATTACCTCTGCCCGCCCTATAGGGCTGTACCCGAATATTCGACTATTCGAATATTCGTTCGTTGGCCAACTATTCGGGTTTTAATTTCATTATTCGGATATTCGTTTTTTTTGTTTCCTAAATGTATGCTATCATAAAGGCGAATTGCCATATTCTTATACTATATTTATACTTTTGAATTGCACTGTTAAAATGCGGAAATATATACAATCTCAGCCTGTGCTCCTGACATCGCGTTCACTCACAGTCACGAACGCAAACGGCACGCTTCACCTCGTTTCACACTCCTGAACACAAAATGCAGAAGACTTCAGCTGTGTGGGACCATTTTAAATTGGACGACGGTAAGAAGAAGGCAGTGTGCCAAATATGCGACAAGAAACTGGCCTACCACGGTGGCACAACAACTCTGAAAAGTCACCGGATGCTGTAAGTACTAGCCTAGCTTAGCTGTTGTCAAGTTGCCATGATGAAGCTGCTTTATCCGCCGTTTAAAGAGTAACGTTACACATGATAAAATGGTGCACTTACTTTGCTTGGAAAATAGTTGCAAGCAAGCAACCGAATTGTTTTTTTATATTAGTTTTTCAATTTGATCCGAATAGTGAAAATAATAGGAGCAATGTGGGAACATCTGGGGCTAAGGCAATTATTGGCATACAGTTCGTTCATTTATTTTTTGTTCTTCATTTATTTAAATACTGTTTACTGTATCGGTAACAAGTACTACACTGTTAGGCCTACTGTTACGGGTATGTTATTAAAAGTAGTGTTGTTATAACAGAAATATGTGTTTTGTATCTTCAGGTTGTAAAACGTTAGACGGAATTTGGAACCAGATTTGGTCCCCGGGCGCTGCACTGCGGCTGGGTTAAATGCAGAGGACACATTTAGTTTTTATGTATGCGAGTACTGAGACAATAAATAAATATAAATCGTAATAGTATGCTCTTTCTGCGCTTCTGCTTAACAGCGTGTTGTCAGGTGTCTCGGAGCGTGTTATGACATTTTTTTTATTTATTTATTTTTTATTAAAAAAACAAAAAAAATCTCTCCGCACCGAATATTCGCTGCTGATTACTACCGAATATCCGGAGCCCGACAAATGGTATTCGGGACCGCCCTACCACCTGTCCTCTGGACCCTATCTCTTCAAACCTCCTTCAGACTATCGCTCCTGATATTCTACCGTTTCTCTCCCATTTCATCAACACTTCTCTAACTTCTGGTCACTTTCCAAACAGTCTCAAGGAGGCAAGAGTAAACCCTCTCCTAAAGAAACCCACTCTCAACCCATCTGATGTTATAAACTACAGGCCTGTCTCTCTCCTCCCGTTCCTGTCTAAAACACTTGAACGCACTGTCTTTAAATAACTCTCCTGTTATCTCCATCAGAACAACCTTCTGGATCCGCACCAGTCTGGTTTCAAGGCAGGTCACTCCACAGAAACTGTCCTCCTTGCTGTCACTGAGGAACTGCACACTGCTAAAGCAGCCTCCCTCTCCTCTGTCATCATCCTTTTGGACCTGTCTGCTGCATTCAACACGGTGAATCATCAGATCCTCCTTCGCACTCTCCAAGAACTTGGAGTTTCAGGCTCTGCACTTTCCCTCATCACCTCATACCTCAAAGACCGCACCTACAGGGTTACTTGGAGAGGGTCGGAGTCCGACCCTTGTCAATTAACTACAGGGGTCCCTCAGGGCTCTGTTCTTGGTCCCCTCCTCTTCTCCTTGTACACAAACTCGCTCGGATCTGTCATTAGCCCGCATGGTTTTTCATACCACTGCTAAGCTGACGACACCCAATTAATTCTGTCCTTTCCCCGCTCAGAGACCCAGGTCGTCGCACGCATCTCTGCTTGTCTAGCTGACATCTCTCAGTGGATGTCTGCTCATCACCTTAAGCTCAACCTTGACAAGACTGAACTGCTTTTCCTTCCGGGAAAAGATTGTCCCACTCTTGACCTAACAATCAACATCGGCACCTCTATTGTTTCCCCGACTCAGACTGCAAGGAATCTGGGGGTGACCCTAGATAACAAACTGTCCTTCACTGCAAACATAGCTGCTACAACCCGCTGCTGCAGATACACGCTTTACAACATCAGGAGGATACGTCCCCAGCTGACCCAGAAAGCGACGCAGGTTCTGGTCCAGGCTCTCGTCATCTCACGCCTAGACTACTGCAACTCCCTCCTGGCTGGTCTACCTGCATGTGCCATCCGACCTCTGCAGCTCATCCAGAATGCAGCGGCTCGTCTGGTCTTCAACCTTCCTAAATTCTCCCACACCACGCCGCTCCTCCGCTCCCTCCACTGGCTTCCGGTAACTGCTAGAATCCACTTCAAGACACTGGTACTTGCATACCATGCTGGGAATGGATCTGGCCCTTCCTACATCCAGGACATGGTTAAACCGTACACCCCAGCACGTCCACTCCGCTCTGCATCAACCAAACGGCTTGCTGCACCCTCGCTGCGAAGGGGACCCAAGTTCCCATCAGCAAAAACACGTGGGTTTGCTATCCTGGCTCCAAAATGGTGGAATGAGCTCCCCATTGACATCAGGATAGCAGAAAGCTTACACACCTTCCGGCGCAGACTGAAAACTCATCTCTTTCGACTCCACTTCGAGCGATAGAACTATTAACAAAGCACTTATATACTAATAAAGGGCTGGCTTATCTAAAGCCAGTTGAGTAGCACTTGAAATGTTTTTGCTCTATGAAACCTGATGTACTTATATGATTCTGTTTTCTTCAAGTTTGTATTTTGTTGGTCGAACGCACTTATTGTAAGTCGCTTTGGATAAAAGCGTCAGCTAAATGCAATGTAATGTAATGTAAAGTATATTCTCGCTTGGAAAGTGTATAATTATTCCCTGCGTCAGATTTGCTTGTGCCTCAACGGCAGTTTTAGTTTGAGTTAAACTGTGGTTTCATTTCTTTATTTCGCCCCCACAGCCTTTATACAGCTTTCCTAAAGATATGCAGTCAACCTCCCCAGCTTTGCATATGGTGTGCTAAAGATAAAGCACACTTTTCTTTAGAATTTCTGATTATTCTTGCCTGCGCTTAAAGTCAACACGCAGCAGCGCAGGTGCGAGCTTCGGTATCAGAGGAGTTCATTTTTTGCTGCGCCTGTGATTGGGTGTTGTGTTTGCTCACCTGCCGTTTGCATTCTCCAGGCTCAAACCACAGACTCACATTTCTGCTCTGAATGGAGTTAAGGTCATTGTGTCCAATTACAAGCAAACCTGAGCTCGGAAAACAAAAATCACATGGACTCACTCACTGTGCCTTATTGACTCCATTTTTCGAGTGATCCATCATCCTGTGAGGTTACGGAGTTTGGTAGCAATCACAGCAGATTTAAAGGCTCTTAACTGTAATTAAACGTGTTTGACTTGTCTGTGTAATTCACCCTCTGATTCTCCAAACAGATAGAAAAAACAAACATGAAAAACAGCTGAATGTGAGCGTCGGTCCAGACTGTGGTTTGTTCTGGGTTTATGTTGTTATGCGAGGCCTTCCAAGCATGAAGAACAGCGGGATATCACGTGCCAACTCTGGCCTTCTTATATCCATAAACCCTTGCAATTTAAGGGTCATTCCTTGTAGCTGGCTCTGAACAAACCACACTGTGCTTCTCCTGGAAGAAGACTCTGACTCACACTTTCTGGCATCACTGACCAGTTATTTGGCACACGCTTGTGTTTGGATGGCGTTCTTCTCACCTGCCAAAAACTCAAAAGTCTTTAAAGCGCCTCTAAACATGAATCACACACTCGCACACAAATGCTGTTTTTCTCACCAGCTCCTGCTCCAGTTGACCCGTTCCCAGATACAGTGAGGCCATCACCACCCGCCTCTTCGCGGTCTTGATGCGCGCCTGAAGGAAAGAAAAACAAACGTCACAATGTACGTGGGTGTCAGGAATCTTGTAACAAATATCTGACAGTAAAACATGATTAATGGTCATACTAAAAAGGTCATTTCCTGTATGTCACATGAACACGCTGTCAGTCTGTATGCACAGGCAAACTAACCACATTCCCTCGGAGCCCCTAGCAACAAGCAAATAACAACAAAACTAAAAACCTTTAAAAAAAGAGCAAAAAATATCCCTTTTTCTTTTTTTAAAAACATATTCCTAGTAATCCTGGGCTTCATTGTAAACATGTTAGGTGAGCGTTTCGTTGTGTGTCATTTATGGAACTATGTATGATATTGTTTCTTTAATAATTTCTGAAGCCTTTAAGCCTTTAAGAGTGAATTGCTCCTGATTAACTGGCTGGTTGGTTTTATCTCAGGCTGATGTGACTTCATTTTATGCGTTTTATTGTGAAATATAGTCTTTAACAGCAATTTCCCCATCTTAAAAAATGTTTCCTCCCTTGTCAAATAATAAGATAAACTTAACGTAAATGACATTTGCAAATAATCTATAGAACAGTAATAATGTCCTGGTTATTTTAAATAACAACAATGGATAGTTTTCAATGGGAATGCTTCTTCAATAGAAAGCACTGTGGAGGAAGATCTACGAGTTATCAAAAGTAACCAGGATGTTGTTTATCGTAACTCCACGCCAAACAATTATGTTGATCATATTCTTTGATTAATCTTAAGACCTTGAAAATGACACGAGGAATGAGAATATATAAAAAAATGCGTATCTTATTTTAATAGCACGTGATTTCTAGTTTTTCAGTTGAAGGCGACAAAAGAAAAAAAGTGTTCTTTGAGTATTTTTAATATCAGTCACTTTCTTTTTCACTTTGCTCAGGGCGCTACATTTTGTATTGGCCGTCTCCTCACGTTAGAGATGAACAAGGAAGTGAACAAAACAATGCCATTCAGAATTCCCAGCCGTCATTGGTATGGGGAAATGTTCTTGGAAAATAGATGACATGTTTTTAAGATTCAAAGCCATCAAAAATATACAGCTCTGGAAAAGATTAAGACACCTCTGCAGCAATCAATTATTTATCTTTTATTCTATAAACTACGGACAACATTTCTCTTTGTTGGAATTCAACACTGGAATGAAATGGCTGCCATACATGTAGAGATTGAGATTTAAGAAACACTTTGAGTGGTCTCTTCCTTCTTTCCAGAGCTGTATAAGGGTATATGACGCAGGAACGTAAATATTAAAACATGAATAAAACCCTTGAACAATGTGTTAGCCCGAGGGAAGCTGCAGATTCCTGTTTCTTTGTTCCTGGAGCGGCTGAACGGACGAACGTTCGAGGAAACGTAAAAGGATTCCTATGTGGTGACACACAGCAGGTGTGGGATTCAGTAAAGATATAAAACTGTCGCCTCTCTCCTATGATTCACATTTAGTTTGCAGAATGATACATTTCCGATTTTTGTTTAAAGTTAGAAACACTTAAAGATTATTTTCTTCAAACTTGAAATAGAGTTGTACTTATAAGACGAGAGAGTAAATCAAAGCACAAAAAGATGTTGCTCCAGGGAGGACATTTCAATCTCTGGGAATGGAGCTTTTTATTCCAGTTCATCCAAGGTTGATTCAGGGACATGAGGCCTAGTTTACGATTAAGATTGCAAATAATGCTAATTAATGTCCGATGGTTTTCCAAAGAGAAACGTCAACATGTAATGTAATGATCTAATTAACAAAACCGCCTTGTGAAACATCTCATAATATATGAGATTGTGCAGGTCTCCCTTGAAAAAGAGATCTACTGTATATCTCAATGGGACCAATCTGGTTAAATAAAGGTTTGAAATGAAAATCACTGATCTAAATGGCCAAACACATCAGTCGACACGATAGGCCATTTGTACAAACTGGTAAACATTATTTTTTTCCCAGGGACAGTTCAGCCCCGGAAAATGTAAACTTCATATATTTGTTTTTATTGTTAATTTATCAAATCGTTGAATTTGTGTGAATTGCAGATTGTTGGAGACAGCGAAAGACTTTCAATCCCTGATTAATATTGAAACATGTTAAAGTTTTTTTTTATGTCCAAAAACAAGACCTACATGAACAAAGGAAGGTCTGTGGATTAGCATGGGTAACCCGTCATGATATATTAGGGGCGCCGCATGCTGAGTGCAATCTAGTGTCATCATACATGTTGATTTGTGTGAACTGTCCCTTTAAGTTTTCAAGTGGATTATATATTTAGCACCTATTATGGCGCGTTTCCACTGCAGCGGGTAGCCCCGTTTAAGCGTCCTCAAGCGGCCAGGCCGGTTTTTGGTGGCGTTTCCATATAGCCTAGTACCGGCCAGCGGGTACTTTTTCCCTCTTTTTCCGGCCTCATAAAATCGTGGTTCCCTCAGACCAGGGCCAGGGCTGAACTAGTGACGTCAACACTCTCGACTGCTGATTGGTCAGAGAGAATCGTCACAAGATTGCGCGCGAGTTCATCCCTAGCGTCGCATATATATCTAGAAGCAAGCTTGCAGCATTTTTATAAACAGCATTTTGTAAACGGAGGAGCTACAAAAATGGCTACTTCTAAGAAAAGCACACCGTGGTCGACCGAGGAGGTGACGACGTTCCTACATCTCATTGGGGATGATCAAATCCAGCGGGAGCTCGACGGAACAACTCGAAATGTGAACAAAAACAAAGCCGATCGCCCCGCCTACACTGCGTTGCTACCCCAGGTCCTAAACTGTAATGGAAATGCGCCACGGCCTGGGCCGGCCAGCGAGGCAGCCCGAGGCCTGAGCGAGGACGCTTAAACGGGGCTACCCCGCTGCAGTGGAAACGCGCCATTAGTTGCAACGTTAAGGTGACAGGTCTTTTTAGAGCCGAACTATTAACTGCCAACTCGGCCGCTGCAGAGAAAACAATCAGAGTCTGCCGGGAAGAAAATACTTCCTCAAGCACACTCATATTCCTCAAGCACTTTCTCCCTTTGTTACGCCACATGATGATATTGAACATCTGTGCAACATCAATACTGGTAGTTGTTCAGTTAAGCTCTGTTTTCATTGCTTTGCAGCTGAACCAAAATGGTAACTTCTTGGTATCACCGACCTTCATAGTCTGGTAGAACTGGTCAGGCGAGGTGAGGATGTGGATGTGGGTTCCCGGCACCCGAAAGGCAGGTACGTGCTCTGCCATCCATCGGAAGTGGCCGCAGAGTCCCTCTGTGCCCTGAGCTCCTGCGGACCCCGCGGGCCTGGAGACCCGTCGGGGGGCCGGGTCGGCTTCGGCCAGGAGGGGGGCCAGCAGCAGCACCGAGGACCTGCAGGGAACAAGGGGGAGGAGTTGATTTGCCAATATCTGGATTCTAAGTACCATACAAGACTTCGGAATAATTGGTGAGTACTTTTAAAGAGGACATATTTTGCTCATTTTCAGGTTTCATATTATATTCTGTGCCTCTACTGTGACATGTCTCCATGCTCTAATGTTCAAAAAAGTCTTTATTTTTCTCATACTGCCTGTGCTGCAGCACCGCTTTTCACCCTCTGTCTGAAGCCGGAGCCCAGTCTGCTCTGATTGGTTAACTGGCCGGCTCTGTTGCGATTGGTCAACCACTAAGAGATGCCCCATCCCCAAAGCCTATCACGATTAATATGTTTGAGCGCTAGCCAATACAAGTAATGTCATTTTGGGGGGGGGGGGGGGGGTGGGAGACACTTTGGGATTTTAGCCGTAGCAGAGCATTTACATGCACACAAATCTATAGAACACACTACAGGAAAGGGAAAACCCAAATAAGTATAGTAAGCCCTTTACGTTTTTGTTAATCAACTTGGAATTAGAAACGGAGAACAAAATGAGTTTGGAGCTGCTCTGAAGCGCTCGATCATCACACAACCTTCCTCTGCAGATAGAGCTTGTGGTGACGCTGTTGTGCTCATCATTCATATTATTTAACACGCAATTGTCCATCACGCTGGATATTTTCTTGTCATAATTGTCAAATATTGTTTTAAATACAGTGGTATCAATGTCAGCCTGCATGTAGCCATAGCTAGTGCCTGGCTGTCAAAAAGGGTCATACACAAACTCTGACTGGCTTTTTCACTGACGATTTGTAATGCTCCTCCTCATCTTCTGTCATTGGCTTTAAAAAAAAAAGTATTAGATCAAATATATATATTCCCTCCCAAACAGATTTGACTATTTCTGAGTTTATTTATTCCCTTTTTAGATCTGCATGGAGATCCATCCTAAAGTGTGTTGCTTGAATAATTTCCTGCATGTTTAGATGATGGTCAGTAGTGCCATAAATCCCAGGAGAACAAGTCTCTGGTATTGTCTTTTTGTAACTTTGATGAAATCACCAGTGTTGGCTTTTTTGCTGTAAAACTAAAAAGACTGAACACAAAGTATTTAAGATGCAGTCAATGCAGCAATGAATATGTTCATATTAAAACATTTTAGGCAACTTGAAACCCCCCCTCTTTATTTCTCTTTTACTGTGCGTTTGTCTATAATTTATTTATTTTTGTAAAAAGTTTTGAATTCAACTTTAAAATACAAACAATAAAAAAATAACTATCAGATCATTTTTCTGCTGATCGAACAGTGCGTTTAGATTTTCGTTCTCGGTGTCCTAAAATTCCCCCCCCCGAACACCACGTCCCTGTTGTCTCTGCCATACAATCTGCCTGACAATGCAACCACATTAAATAAAGACAGGGTGGGGTGTGAACCTCAGAGGCTGAATGTCAGAATGTCTACTAAATTCCTTCATATTCATTTCATCCAGAACACACACAAACACAAACACACAGTGTACATTTTGGTTTGGATTTGACCCACAAAAACAACCTGGAAGAATGTGGAGGAAACAAAAGTCACATAAAAACAAAGATCACAGCTCTTCTTTCCAAAGCCACTCTGCTGAGCTAGAACTTCTTGGGCAAGGGGCTTTCCCTGATGTTTGGAATTTGAGTCCTATCTAAAATACGCATATCACTCTAGATGGCATTTCAATAAAAAACGATAGCGTGAGAGAACATCCTCGTGGCGATGACGCTGAACTTTCTGCATTTTTTACAGCAGTGCAAATGACTAACGTTATTACATTACATTGCATTTAGCTGACGCTTTTATCCAAAGCGACAATAAGTGCATTCGACCAAGAAGATACAAACTTGAAGAAAACAGAATCATATAAGTACATCAGGTTTCATAGAGCCACAACATTTCAAGTGCTACTCAACTGGCTTTAGATAAGCCAGCCCTTTATTAGTATATAAGTGCTTTGTTAATAATTCTATCGCTCCAAGTGGAGTCGAAAGAGAGAGGATCTATAAGGGGAACATATGGAACTAAGTAATAGTTATGGGCCCCCCAGCTGACGCCCGATCCTTTACAATTGTCTGTAAGTGGTAAAAGATAAGAGATAAGATACATGCTTTGAAATTATGTTTCAGATTTTCATTTTAGGACTGTTTATAGTGATATAAAATCAATTCATACCTCAGAGACCACAGTGAAATAAAAAAAACTCTATAAAACTAATTCCAAAGGGATTTTAAATCATAGAAAAGGACGCAGATGTTTCAATTTTTTCATCAACATCCATACAAATACAGTTTGTTATTTAAGCAGGACATCTAAGAAATGTCATTGAATTGAAATGAACTGAACTCCCTCCTATTTAATGAGGTTAGAGGCAAAGTCAATGCATGACTGTTGTTAGTGCGATGAATAGAAGAGCTGTTTTTACTTTGGTTTGCGCCAAATCCCTTTTGATGTGAATCATGTGATGGAAACAATGTTGTCGTCTGTCTTCCTCATTTTGCTAAATTCCCTGATGGGAATCTCATTGTGTTTAATAGATTTTACATCCGCATTTGATTCGGTTAACAAACTGGAAAAGCCGGTCTTTGTCTCCTTTTTAAAGTCTTAACATTTACAACCAAGTAATCATTCATTATCTTAGCGCTATATGCATAATAGAAAACACTTTTTATCATATGGCCATGAAACAGGAACATGAGGCGCCAACTACAAAACCATCGTCATGAATTTGCTGCAGCTATATCAGTTTTCTGCATTATCACTTAATAAAAAGTCAATGTGACCAGTGAGGCACAACCACGTGCTACAAAGACGTTAAACACTAAGGACAATTACAGTGAGAGATAAATAGAAAGATAAATAATAAACAGGCTCCAACCTGTCTCCAGTCTAAGATTAAGACAAGATGTTTTAATAACTTGACATGTCACATCAGTGTTTCCCCTATATACAAATAGCGGCGGCTAAATATTTTTTTAACTTTTTTATTAAAATAATAATAAGTGGCGACTTTTTTTCATTTTTGATTGTTTGTTATGTGGATTTGTAGTATTTGTGTTACTGTATGTTCAATAAAGGTGTATTTTTGCTAAATCTTGAGACATTGCCACTGTATGTACTAGGCAGGGTAGATTTTTGGCATAGGCGACATAGGGTTCGCCTAGGTCGCCAGATCTGGGGGGGGCTGCGCTGGTAGCTCTGGGAGGAGAAAAAACATTTTTGACCGTTGGTGCTCATCCTAATTTTCGGCCTTGATGTAACAACATTCATAATTAAGTGAATGTAACACCCTTTTCACCCCGGTTACACTTTTCATTTGCCCTGTACGATGGGCGCTATAAGTGATGAAAGTGGGGGATGTTGGCTCATCAGGCGCCCGCAGCTCACAGCCAAAGTGCGAGTGAGCGTGGGAGCGAGAGAGCAAGCGAGGGAGAGAGAGAGAGAGAGAGGGCGCACCGGTACCGGCGCTGTTGTTATTAGAATCTGGTGCTAGCTGCGCTAACGTATATAAGAAGTAGATGTTTCTAGGAGGAGAGCTCTCCAGTCAGACTGAGAGGCTCAGTGAGGTAAAGGACTCTCTGAGTATTTAGATCAGCGATACTCAACAGCGGCTCGCGGGGTAAAAAAATCTTTGAAAAACAAAAACATTGTCAGCAGAATTCATCAACATTTCATTATCACTCACAAGTCACACATCAGTCATCACACACATCAGTCTATTAAGCCGCCCCCCCCCATCCCTCTGAACAACCAATCACAAATTATTTCAGGTTTCGCGCTCTGATTGCAGGTGCGCGAGATAATTGCTCCGTCACACTGGGAAAACTAGCTTACAGCACTATGAAAAAATGGCAAAGGAATATAGGAAACGAAAATATGAAGAGGAATATCGAACATTTAAAGAGGACTGGGAACTCAAGTTTTTCTTCGTCTCCACCGGTTCGGGAAAATGCATCTGCTTGCTTTGTGACAACGTCATTTCACAATTTAAAAAAGGTCCAATTTGCAGCGCCATCACGACACAAAACACCCGAAGTTCAGTACCGACTTTCCGAAAGGTGGAGAGCTGAGGGCGGAAAAGCTGGCGAGACTCAAACAGAACCGAACTGCTCAAAAAAACGTATTCCACACTAATACGAGTGAAAGAGCGACAGAGGCATCCTACAAAATCACACATGAACTGATGAAAAAGATGAAGCCATATACTGATGGAGAAATGGTGAAGGATTGCATACTGCTGGCTTGTTCAACGTTGTTTCCTGAGAAAAAATACCTGGAACGAGAGGCAAACAAAATCCAACTGTCGGATTCTACTGTAGCTAGGAGGGCATCAGACATTTCAGAGAACATTGCACATACTCTTAAAGACAAACTGTCATCCGCTGAGTTTGTCAGCCTTGCAATGGACGAAAGCTTGGATATCAATGACACGCCACAATTACTCATCTTTATCCGAGCGATCAACAGTAAGTTTGACATTACAGAAGAACTGCTTGACATGGTTTCACTGAAAAATGGAACAACGGGCATTGAAATAAAAAACGCTGTGCTGGAAACATTAGAAAAGTTTAACATTGGACCAGAAAAAATCCCAGCATTCACAACAGATGGCGCACCGGCGATGCTTGGTAAGAGGAACGGAGCCGTGGCTTTGCTGAAAGAAACGCTGAAAAACGGCGGTGTTGCTGCTGAGGGTATTTTCTCATACCATTGTATTGTGCATCAACAAGCCTTGTTCAAATGTCTGAATGAAGTGATGGCAAATGTAATCGAAGTGGTTAATTATATCAGGGCCCGTGCAAGAAACCACTTAAATGTTAAACTGCTGTGTGAGGAGTTTGACACTCACTATGGAGATTTGGTGTTACACACCGAGATCAGATGGCTGTCTAAAGGACGTATGCTCGCACATTTCATGGACCTGCTTGAACCCCTGAAATCCTTCATTGTCGGCCAAGGGGAGACTTCCCGATTTTCCTTTTTGGATGATAAAGAGTGGGTGCTGTCTGTTGCGTTCCTGTGTGACATTACGCAGCACTTGAACGAACTTAATCTCAAGATGCAGGGAAGAAACAAGACCGTGTATGAGCTCTACACGGCTGTCAGAGTATTTTCTGACAAACTGGATGAACTCGAACAAAGTGTCCGTGGTTCTGATTACCGTTTCTTCCCCACCGTGCAGAAAGTGATGGCGATGCATGCAGACGCTCTCCTGCCCTGTCAATCACAATTCTGTGACGTGCTAACTGAGCTCAAGCAAAACTACACATCAAGATTCCACGACTTCAAGGACCATAGTAATATTTTTCTACTTGTGAAAAACCCATTCCTGATTGAGGTCAATGAAATGAAGCAAATAAGCGACCAGCTCGGACTTGTGCAGCTTCCAATGGAGTTCGTGGAGTTAAAGAGCTCAGATGAACTTCAGCGTCAGTTTCGGATTACAGATGTCGTGGACTTTTGGAAACTGGTGGGGTATCTACCAAATATCTCCAGACTGGCAAGACGCATCATCTCAATGTTTCCGTCCACATACCGGTGTGAAGCAGCATTCTCTGCGCTCTCAAAAATAAAATGTCGCAACCGAAACAGATTGAGTCTGCAGCACACAACAGAGGTCCTTCGGATCGCCGTTTCCAGCGCAGAGCCCGACTTCAAATCACTTGTGCGGCAGAAGGAGTGTCAGAAATCACATTGAGTGTGAAGTAAGTACAACATTACTCTTCTGACAACCCCTGCTGTCTGTTATCTGTTGTTATGGGCAGTGATGATCAGCAATGTGTGTTTTGTGGTTGCAGTTATTGCACTGTACATTATGCTTTTCAATCCTTAGTAACATATTACTATTATCCATATTCTCAAATGCATAATGGTTTCAGGGAGGAAAGGAGCGTTTTTGGATTGTGGCTCTTGCAAAAATATGTTTTCGTCAATGTGGCTCCTGATTAGGACAAGGTTGAGTACCACTGGTTTAGATAGTTCATTTTAGTCTAAGTTATCTCAGTGGGTCTCAAACGTTTTGACCACAAATTATGTAAACACATATTTCCAAGGCACTCCTTTATAATTATAAGGATAAATAAAAACAGGTTTGAAATCATTCCAATGTAATACTATAGGACAGTAACCCAAAAATATTGTTTAAAATATCGATTTACTTTGATGAAATGTACAGTTATTTATCGTTTGTGTATTATTTATTTAAATGCACACAGTATTATATAATTCCCAATTTTTATATAATTTGTTTTTCAGCCTTATTTTATTAAAACTTCAAGAAAACTCCACTGTTGAACAGACTTTAAAATGCGTCATGTTTATAAAAATCAAAATAAATCATACAAAAAGATTTGTGATGATTATAATTGCCATGACCGAGCAGCCCGTAGACGAGTAAAGTGGAGATTAACACCCCTAAATCACTAAATGATTTTAAATTCCATTAAATTAGATCCAACTGTGTGATGGTGATGGGATGTGTGCATTGTCTGATAATAGAGTGATAATATGAGACAGCAGCAGCATTATGCCCAGAGGTGTCATGCTGTTGGCTCCTGACTTTCTCTTTCTTTTAACACAGGTTTATCTTTCCTGGGACCCTTCTCAAATGCTGAATCCCCTCCTATTCCCTGTCTTTCTCTCCGTGTGGTTGCTTTATTCTCCCATCTATGTGAATGATGTGCTTCAGATGTCTTTCCTCTGACATGGTGGGGGAGAGGAGGTGGTGTGGATCTGTTTAGAAACATCTGGAAACTGCTGGACATCCTGCGGTTTCCATTCAATTCAAATAACATCAAACTTATTTAGCCGCAGGTAAGTTATGGTTAAGAGTGTTATTACTAGTATCACCTTAGTAACCATCGGCTGAAAGGCAAACCTGTGAAACCAGTGAAGAGTCAGGCGTCAGATTTCAGCTAAGGTAAAATGGCAGTTACATAACAAACACACAGAAGAACACTATGTACAAACATTTGGTTACTTTAGCTAAAGGTTAGCTTATTTTGGAAGGTGCATTACATAGTGGAAATTAACTAAATCTGATTTAACGTTTACGATAGTTTCACCCCGAATACGTTTTAAGTTGGTGGTTATAGATTTTGAATGAACACAATCACCCAATAGAGCATCATTGGTCCGATAATAGACGCGTTAGCAGTAACAACATTAGCAAAGCATGTTTAACTTTGCATGATGGAAAGCTTTAAGCGTATTTGCATCCTGGTGTCAGTGTCTCTGTGAACCAGCCGGGTCTCTTACCCTCCTCTCCTGTCTCTTGCGCGGAAGATCCGGTCAGATATTCGGGTAAAAACCCCTGCGATGGCCGGTGGGTACACGGAGTACACCAGCCTCCTCCAGGACATGGGAGCCGCCATTGCTGCAGCACGGAGGCTTTGAAAAACCTTTATAGACACAACGAGCAGCTGACAGACACTCTGCTGCCCTGCAGCCTGAGGTAGACAGTGATGGGCACTGAGAAGGGTATTAATTGTTTAATTCGTTTAAATAATAAGTATTAAAGTTTTACCTGCAACACCAATTAATACATCAATTTAATAATTTAACTGGTTGTTTGTATTTGTTTGTGTGGGTTAAAATGCCTTCAAATTACTAGTGAGCAAACTACCTTGCAAGCTATGGGTTAGGTAATACAACTTTAACCTATATAAAACACGTTCAGACTGATAGAGATAATCCAATCCCCAAAACCATGATCAATTTCAGATGATATATTACAAGTATTCAACACATATTTATACCAATAGCCTAATCCTAAAAATCATATTTAAAGACTCAAAATGATTACCAAGAAAACATAAATGTACAAATAAAGTAAAATAATCATTGTTGAGGAAAGAAAAGAGAGAGAATTAACAAATCATAAATAAACATAAACATTATTATGATGAATAATTAGGGGGACTAAAAAATAAACCTTACTATATAGTAGAACTATTGTAACACCCAGAGGTGGAAGAAGTACTTATATATTTTTGCTTAAGTAAAAGTAGAAGTACCAGAGTGTAGGAATACTCTGTTACAAGTAAAAGTCCTGCATTCAAAATGTTACTCAAGTAAAGTTACAAAAGTATTGGCATAAAAATATACTTAAAGGGGACCTATCATGCAAAATGCACTTTGTGATGTCTTTTATACATAAATATCTATGTGTCCCGGTGCGTCGGGAACTCACGCAGCGTCAGAAAATAAAACCCTCTCTCTTTTCCTCCGTACCCAAATCTTTTAAAAACGGGTGTACAACGAGCAGATACAGATTTGCTGCCGATCTGACGTCAAATCGTCAGCGGACCCACAGAAAGTGAGAGGGGTCTGCCTGGCCTGCAGACCTCCACTCTCAGGACAGTTCCGGTGCAGACCTCCACTCTCAGGACAGGAAGTGCACGCTAAGAATTCCAAAATAAAATCACCACTATCAGTACAGTGCCACTTTCCAAACAGGAAATGCACAAAATAAAATCGGATCGTGACGGATCGTGACACTTATTATATACATATGTATATATCTATATATATATTATATATATATAGATATATACGGACACCTTGTATTGTTGTTACTATCAGTACAGCCGCAGCGCCACTTTCCGAACAGGAAATGCACGCAAATACAAAATAAAATCGTACTGACACTATTTATTTATATATATAAATACGACATCTTGTATTTGAGTTACACCCGCTAGACAACAGTAAGAAAAACAACCGTGTTTGCCGGGTGCACTGCGGTGGAGGTGGGGATGTTCCAGCTGGGAACCTCCACCCCGCTGCGGGACCCGTGGGACCCCTGGACGGTGCGTCTTGGTCACGCTTCATATTGGCCGGCCCGGGAAGGAAGAGACACGCATAGTGGGGGAAGTCCCCCACCCCAACGCAGCACACCCTACCGGCCATCAGAGTCGAACCCGCAGTTCGGAGGAACCGACCGCCAGAGCACCGGCACTAGGCCGGGCCGGCGTGGAGGCCCTCCGACAGTGGGTCGCGTTTGCCATTCGATCAGTGAGAGGAGAGGAGAAAAATGCAACAAAAATGGTCAAAACCCTGCTGAAAAAACCAGCATGGACCAGCATGCTGTTGACCAGCATGGACCAGCCTATGTTGTGTTTTGGTCACCAGCATGGACCAGCATGGACCAGCATGCTGGTCCATGCTGGTAGATCATGCTGGTCCATGCTGGTGGTCCATGCTGGTGGTCCATGCTGGTCCATGCTGGTGGTCCATGCTGGTCCATGCTGGTAGATCATGCTGGTCCATGCTGGTCCATGCTGGTAGATCATGCTGGTCCATGCTGGTCCATGCTGGTCCATGCTGGTCCATGCTGGTGACCAAAACACAACATAGGCTGGTCCATGCTGGTCAACACCATGCTGGTCCATGCTGGTTTTTTCAGCAGGGAATCCGTTAATATATGGATGAGTGGGGGGGGGGCTGGACACAGGCCGTGGGGGCACACCCGAGACCGGGCAATGTCCCCGGTAGAAACCGGGTGACATAGCCAAAAATATAAAAAATAATAAAACTGGGGAAAAGTGAAAAAAAGAAAATAGGCACTCGTGAGGCGGGCAGAGTCCCCTGTCAACTCCCGTTACATTCCTCCATGGTGTAATTTGAGCGAAAAACTTTTACGAGAACCAGGCTGGGGGGGTCAAAAGGGCTTGACCAAGGCCGACCCAAAGTGCACGGTGGGCAGACTCATCACCTCCGTGATGAGTCTCCATTGTGATTTGTGATAACTTCCATCAAACGAGTCCTTCGGTGGGCGGGAAAAAAAACGCGTCAGAATCGTCACTTCCTGTACTGACAGTGGAGGTGTCCTGAGAGTGGAGGTCTGCACCGGAACTGTCCTGAGAGTGGAGGTCTGCAGGCAGGCTCCCACATGCAGAAAGTTGCTATCAGAAACAATGCCTGACGTGTTTTGGACGTAATCTCGTCTTTGTTTACATTAGCAAGCCTCGCTAACACTCAGAGCTAACCTATACTGTATAGCACATGTGTTTAAAAAGCAGGAAATAAAAAAAGGAACTCACCTTGTGATAAACCCGCAAGAGAAAAAGCATTTGAGCTCCATACTGTTTAGGAAATAATCTTTGATGTGGTTTAGAACAGGATGGCGTTTTACAGCAGAATTTAACTTTATCTCCGGTAGAATTCTGATCAGGCATTAGCTCCATCTCCTCTCTTTTTTTTTTTCAAGCTAAGGACCCAAAATCCGCGTTTCTCTAACAGGGCTGCAAAAGGGTTATGGCTAGAAAGGATCCGTCTTGTGTAAATATGACGTCACGTTCTCGTTGTAACTCTCGTTGGAGTGGCTCGGAAACACATCTACAGCAGTAACATGATGCAACATACACATTAATGCAGCAGGATAATAGTAAAACACTGAAAGGGAACATTTTATTGCACCAGGAGCTATCTTGGGACTTTTACTGCGACAACGTTGACTTGCCTGTCAATAAAAAATAAACCATAGTGTTGGTGATCTACAGTGTTGTCATTCTTCTTTGAACAGCAAGACCGCTAACACCCTATTTCAACAATCACACTCCCTGTCATTGACATAATTAATAGATAGTTTAGCTTCTCACCATAATTTGCTGTGGCCCACTGATGTTAACGATCGTAACTGAAAGGCTGCCTGCCAAACGTAAACATTCAGCCACGTGACTTGCAAACTCTCGTGAGAGTTTTACACTAAACGGATCCTTTCTAGCCATAATAATCCTGCAAAAGAGGGGTATGAGCAGTATGAGGCATGGCTACAATGGGTGAACTGTTTGGTATTTTAAGCAAAAAACTTCACAGACATGTTTTGTATATGGCCCTACAATATATTTTTCCAATATAGCATAATACTGTAGGTCCACTTTAAAGTACAAAAAGTAGAAGTACAGATTATGGAGATTGGTCCATTTCAAAATAATATATACAGTATGATATGTTTTGATTATAATTATTGATCATTAAAGTGTTATCAAAGCTGGTAAAGGTGCAGCTATAGTTTTAATGACTTAATTTACGGCAGGGTAGCTGTTAGATTGAATCCAGGTGTAACTAAACTCCTATTTAAGTGTTGATCATATTGTTTATCATTAATCTATATCTGCAAAATAACTATTACATAAATGTAGTCGAGTAAAAGTACAATATTTAACTCTGAATTGTAGTGGAGTAGAAGTACAAAGTATCATAAAATGGAAATACTCAAGTAAAGTACAAATACCGCAAAATTATAGTAAGTAACACCACTGGGCTATAACAAAGACTTCACTTAAGCATTAACACAAAAGCTTTTCATATAAATCCACATGACCCCCTAATAATATACTTAATTTTCTCCAACTTAATACAACATATCTTATTCTGTAGTGAAATGTTGGATGATTACAATCTTTCCTTCTAATCAAAATGTGTCATCTGGCCATCAACGTGGCAAACGAGAGTAATTGTCTTTAACAGTGTTGTGGTAATGTTGTATGATTCAAATATCAATACCCTTTATTTTAACCTAAAAATGTATTTAGCAGAGTTCCACAGCAAAGAGTGAGCACCAGCGCTGATTTATACTCCACAAGTAACAGTATTGTTGTTATTCTTATTATGTTTTTGTAGTTTGCACAGTTTAGCTTTATTTATTCATAAGTTTTAGGTACGATTTTATTCAATTTATATATTATTTTAGTTTGAAAGAAGCAATCACATTTCTGTTATTTTAGCCTTTTGCAGGTGTGACTTCAACCTTTCAAAGTGTTCAGTCATGCGGGACAGACACAGTGTAAACTACAGTTTGTTCCAGGAACAAGTCCTTAATTATAGCATCTGTAGACTTGAAACGAGCTACACCCAGTTGATGCTCATTGTTATAATGATACTGCTGGTATACGCTCACATGGTTAGTGGTAAGTACTCATTTTAAGGTTGTTATTATAGCATTATAATTATTTAATATATTATTATATCCATGCAAAGGTTTACTTTTAATATGACATTAAAGTAATGATTAAAAAGAAAAACTGCTACTTTAAACTTTAATTGTTTAAAGTTCTACTTTCATGTCATAGGAGACATGTTGTTCTAATACTTCATGCACTGTGTTAGACAGCTAAAGTAAAACAAACTTTAATGGGTATATCAAATTCATTTAGCTGTGTATACTACCCTACACAATTTGAAGTACTTCATTATAACCTCAACCCAATTATTATACTTAATAACAGCTAACCCAGCCAGATGTAACACTTACATTCTGCTTAAACGTTTTATTTTTCACCCTTTCTTATTTTCTTTTTCTTTTATGATTTACTTGTTTCAATAATATTATGCAATATGCAAATATATGGAAGTATTTCAGGTCAGCAGTATACGGCGGTTGTTGCTCAAGAGCACTTACAGTAAGTCAGAGGTTTTCCTGACACAACGTGAGCTCGAGGCACGTTATCTTTAAACATTGGCCAGATAAGTAGCTACAAAAGTCAATCATCTTTCATGTTGTGAGGACAGAGAGTAAAAGGGGTTAAACTTCGGAGGCAGAATGTATATGTGGCTTTATTTTTAACCTGTTAAGCCCAGAGCCTGTTTTTCAGGTCTCAGGCTCGAAAATGACATTCCCAGAACAAATGACCACATCTTCCCTTCTAAAAGGGTTAAATTAATCATCTTTTTTCTCAAAGCAAGGTTACACCTGTGAGTTGGATGTAGAAGTGTCAGAATCAATATATATGTTTTTATTTTAAAGTAAATTCAGATTGAACACAGTAAAAAAATGTAAATGATTGTGTCCGTCAAAAAAAAGAATACTTATAGTGAAAACCACCCTTGAATGATGGGATGGTAGACTAAAAGCTTTAGGAATCCAAACTACAACATATAATAAGTACCCTGTATCAAGATTGATGCAAAACAAGTGAAATTTGACCTTTTTAGAGAGATTTAGCACAAAAAAACCACTCATGGGGTAATTTGGGTGGATTTGACCTATCTCTGGCTCCCCTTGCTCGATTTTGCTGCTTGACATCTCTTTCTAACCGTCAGAGCCAATGGAATCGAGTGGAACTCCCACATACTCCTTATTTGGTCATGTGTGTGTGTGAGACTGACGCATAGCCAAATCCGGAAGCTGCGATAACTCTGGTGGCTACAAGCAGCTAACTTTTACTCTCCGATTTTTACATAAAAATGGAATTATGGATTATAAATGAAAAAAAAAATTCCACAGAAACATTATCAACCTATGGATTAACCGATTCATTTGCGTTTTTCCTCGTTTTAATGCCATTGAACAAGTCTTTTGATCAGATTGACAGCTAAGGTGAGACGATCTCCCGTAAAAGCTACGTAAAGGTATGTGTTGTGATGTCTGTGTTTGCTTCCCCTGTCGCGAGTTCGGATCACTCAGTGATGATACTATACCTAAATAATCTGTGGAACCTCAGCTTTAATCGGATATCTTGTATGTGCAGCTACGATAAGTAATAAGGGTCTTTTATCTTGAGTTCTGTGCCAAAGTGCGTTTCCCTCAGGGGTCATTTAGATCCTTCTTATGAGACTATGTTTTGTTTTGGTAAAAATGGTTGGTATCGTCAGTTAGCTGAGATTATTCCTGTTAATCTGGTATAACACATTAATAGGTTCTTAAATATTAAGATCCCCTGAGACACAGTGTAGTGAAACAAAAACAAAAAGTACCCGCCGAGGGGGACCTTGGGGCTTAACAGGTAATCAGTGCAGAAAAATTCAAATGAAATAATATATCTGTATATCTATATTTGTGTAATTGAGATAAGTAACATAAGTAATCGAAGAATTATACTTGCAAATGAAAAGGCTAAATTAATGAATATGTGCATATAGCATAACACAGTAGGAGTAGAGCAGAGTGCCTCGTTTGTCATTATACTGGGTTGTATGGAGGTATTCATGTTAATATGCAGACTGACTCCCCATATACATCTGCCAATAACATCTGTAACATTCATATAATAATGTAACATAATATTCTGTAGTGTTGTTCCACATGCAGAGCTTTTAACTTGCTCACCTTGTGCAAAAGGGAACCCACCAGTACCAGGAAACAGCCCGGCAAAGGTCACGCTGATTATTTATTGGCAATCTGCCAAGAAAGAGCGCGAGCACGTGTGTCTGTTCTGTGCGTGTGTGCATCGGCGTGCGTGTGTTTACTGGAAGAGCCTCTGCATGGAGGAGGAGGAGCCTTACGAACATCGGCTTTACTCACTGGAAACAACCTCCAGTAACCTTCCCCGACACACGGACACGGTCTCTCCGGCAGATACCGCCGCCACATTCCTCCGCTCTGGAAAGAAACCCACACACTTTTTTGGATACTTTTTTTGGATTTTAATGCCTGAGTTAATAACTAATTTAGCACTACTCTCGGGTAGTTTGCGTATATTTTCCTTTGGCGACGAGCGGCTGCAGTGCGGGGCTGAGCATTTCTGCGAGGTAAGTTGAAATAATTAAAAAGACATCTAAGCACTGCATCATTCAAGCCTTCATAATGACTGAACAATGATGTGATAATGTCAGTAAAAGCACAACAGTTATTATTTACTGTTGGGCTGTTGGTGCAGTGCAGCCCAGGAGGATGGAAGTGTATTTTTTGGGTTGTTTCGCAACACAGCGGCTGTGGACCGTTATGCTACTCCGCTGTCCCGCACTGTCCGGCGGCAGTGAAGCCGTCTTAAGGTCCCCTTCACGGGCTCAAAGCCAGAACAAACGGGACACCTTTTTAGTCACAGTGAAACCGGAGAATGGGGCCTCAGTGGCTCGGCCGAGCCGGGAATAAGGAGTTATTCACTGAAAGAGGGGGATAAAGCAATCGCGCCGGACTCTTTCACAGTGACCCCGTTTCTGAAATCCCTTGTTGCGGTACGCCCGATCGAAGACAATTGAAAGCAATCAGGATCCAGTTGCTGTCGGGCTGCGTATTCAGCAGCAGCTCAGTGCGAGTAAGCGAGGATTCATTTAAACTAAATATAACCTGCTGCATGCCCAGTCTTGTCATATGCATTTGTCACAGTCGCCATAACTGTATTTTATGGGGGTAAACCGAGAGCTCCAGTGGGGCAAAGTGGTCATTTATTCATGCTCATGTTTATGAATGAGTTTCAGTAGCCTGATCTTTCTGAATGAGCCTCATGTAGATGTGTAATGTGTGCTTCCTCTCTCCAGCTGTGTTTAGGTGCTCTCTCCCAGCCCCTCTCTGGATGCATCAGACTCCCCTGCCCCGGGGCCCTGGACCCGGTGTGTGACCCCGTCACCCTCACCCCATTCCCCCTCTCTCCCATCACCCTCTGCCCCAAACTCCTTCCCACCTGTCACCCTCGGCGCTCCTATTCTGGGCCCCCTGCCCCTCAACCAGCGGGCAGAGGCAGGGGGCCATGGCGCCATGGTAGCCTTCAACGGACGCAGCCCCCTCGCCATGAGCAGCGTGAACCCTCCAGAGGCCAGGGTTCAGGGGACCAACTTCACCCCACATCACTACAAGCCCTTCAGGTCACATGCACACTACCAGCAGGTCAGTCCCACCTGAGACTCCTAGCTGTGTGTTTTATTGAAGCATCACTATGCACAGACTGGGTGCTTCAGGGGGTTTCAGAACAGTGGCTTTATCTCCATAATGATGGAAGGGTTGTGTAAAACATTTTCAGATCAAGATTTTTGATATCACATATTAACAGATTTTCTACCTTTTTCAGGTGATGTGTGCATTAAGAAAGCTACAGGAGAGTGGGTTTTACTGGGGGGCTGTGGGGGGCCGGGAGGCCAGCTCCCTGCTGCACTCTGAAGCCCCCGGCACCTTCCTGGTGCGCGACTCCTCGGACCACCACCACTTCTTCACCCTCTCTGTCCAGACGGCCCGAGGAACAAAGAACCTGCGCATCCACAGCGAGGGAAATGGCTTCTTCTTACAGCCGGATCCCCAAAACACCCAAGAGCCCCCGCAGTTTGATTGCGTGCTGAAACTCATAACGCACTACATGGGGAGAGATGGTGGAAGGAGCAGAGAAGGGGCAAGTGGAGGGAATTCACGAGAGTCAAAAGAGAAACGTTTCAGTGTCTATCTGATCCACACGGGCGGAGAGAGAATTCCCCTGGAACTGAGGCGACCCCTCTCCAGTTCCCTCTCGTCCCTGCAGCACATGTGCAGGAGGACCCTGAACAACCTGGGGGGGTCGGAGGGAACCGAGCAGATCCCACACACACTTAGAGATTACCTGGAGGAGTACGACGCTCCTATATGACTGACAGGAACCCAAAAGTTCCACTATAGACCAGTTCTCAGCGCACATGAATATGCGCTACTGACCGGAGTTAGCCAATGTGAGGTCAGTTTTTTCATGTGACCCAGATCTGCTTCGGCGCCGACGGACACCACCGGGTCTCACCTCTGGAATGAGGAGTGGGATTTAGGTAGCAAATGATTACCTCGTCCGTCCTGCCTTGCGAAAACTGACCACTAATGTGAGTGGCAAATGAAGCAAGGGCTAAAAGGTCAATATTTCCTAAGACAGACGCAGAGCAGAGCCTCGTAGAAGATGAACCTGATTGGTCGATATTAGCGACGACATGATCAATACACCAACAGTGGTTTTATTGTGCTTAAGAAAATAAACCCTCTCCTCTGTCAGCCTGACATTTAGAGCTCTGTGGATCAGCGGACAGAAAGAAAGACCCAAAGAACAGAAAGGTTCACAGGGGTTGAGTGAAGGAGGAGTCACAGATAAAAGGCAAAGTCCAAGCGAGGGGCACAAAGAACATACAGTATTTGTTTGTCTGAGTGTGTGTGTGTGTGTTTGTGTGTTGCGGTGGCGCACACATTTCCACTGCTGCTTCCCGCAAATGTTGCCTCATAGAGAGGAATGGGAGAGCAGTGGTCATGCGCGCTAGCTCATAACCCTAACACACACACACACACACACACACACACACACACACACACAGACACACACACACACAGGTAAAGGCCAGCTTGTAGATTTTGTGTTGGCGTGGGAACAAGAGAGTGCAAAAAAAAAGGCATTTCAAAGCATCTTCTCCTTCTCCTGTTTGTTTCTCCTCCATCACCTTATTCTCTGCAGCCCTTTGAGTTGCATGTGCGCTTTGACAGTGACAGAAAACAGGCTGCTGTTGCCGAAACAAAAGCTTGTTACTGAGACAAAAGCTTTGGCACGGCACCAAACAAAACAGCAGAACTTATTTTTGACCAGACTGGCTGGAAAAATGTCAGTCTGACACTGTTAAAGCTCCTTGGGGTATGACGACAATGAAGATGAACCAAGACATTTGGGATGAGGCAGGGTGCGAGGAAAGACCGCACGAAGGAGAGAGAAGAGCGGGAAATGGGATTAGGAAAGGGACATTGAAGAGAGCTAGGGAGGGGGCTAGGGGGAGGGAGAAGGGGGAGGAGACATACTGGTATACTGCTAAACAAAAAACATTGATGTGATGGATGTCCCAGACTTGGAGGAAATGATGGGGCTCTACAGGACGCCGCTCCTGTAAATATAAAGCCACGTTCGCTAACATGTGAAAAAAAGAGTTATGGCTGAGTCTTAATTCTGATTTTAGATTTTTGTGATTTATTCCTTAACATTATCATCTCAAACGTATTTCTTTTTGTGTTCTCTCGCTTTCTCTCACACCGCTGTTCATGAAGGAGGAAATGTTATGTGTTTTTATCCCTGTAACTTTAGAAAGGCTTCTCGTCCCGTCTTACCCGCCATGGTTACCTCTGAAGCAGGAGTGCACAGTTGGGTTTCTCTGTCTGAATGTCAAAGGAACACAAGACTTCCTTAAAGTGATTCTCAACAACAACAAAAAGCCTTTTGTAAACTAGAAACTCGGATTTGATCAGAACTGTTTTTTTTGTGTGTGTGGCTGCAACGACAGATTCATTTAAAAATGAATCTGCAGATAGATTCTTTAAAATGTCAGAAAATAGGAAGAAGTGTCCATCCCGCATTCTCAAAGTCAAAGGGAATGTTTTTAAATGTCTTGTTTTGTGAGTAGAAAGCCCAAAGTAATTCACTTTTCACTGATTCAAATGGAGAAAAACAGGGAATCTTAACAATTGAGAGGCTGAAAATGGCAATTTCTGCAATTGTTGCATGAAAAATGAGTGACTAACAATTAATCGATTATCTAAATAGTTGGCAATTGTTTTTCTTTACTAATCATTGCAGCTATGTTACCCAGTGCTCATACTTACCTGTGATCCATATTGGAGTGGTAGCCTTTTCACATCAGAACATTTTGACTTAGACAAGAGCGCTCACATAGAACAATAGTGATAAACAAATGTTTTGGTCAAATCTCAGTCTTATTTTTTAACACCATGTTTTTTGTGTACATGTGTAGCACCAGTAGACTACACGTGTATGTGAATCATTTTGTCTTTTATAAAGACTCTCTCGCAAAAGGCTGGCCACTAGTCTGGCAAAATACAAGCTGTAATATCTGAAATGACAAAGCATTACAAAAAAAATAAATGAAAAGGAAACGTTGCACATATTTATATTTCTAAAATATTTCAATAATTTATATTAAAGAGCACTATTTTTACAAAAGTCAATGCATTTGCCCTGTGTGTTACTTCATTGTTTGTTTCTCTGCCTCCTTTTCTCTCTCTCACTTTCACTGAGTCAATATTGACTGGATAAGCTCTAACTTACCGTAATGTATTGTGAGGCAGTCTGTATTCCAGCAATGCCCGGCCTCACAACCACATTATTATCTGACAAATGGGATTTCCTAGTTAAACAAAGCCGTGTTTATTCAGTCGGCAGGCTTTTAAAAAAAAGCCGGACTGCGGTGAGCACACACATTCATCATAGGGTTAAAATGACTGCAATCATCACTTCTTGTTTTTTTCTTTTCTGCAAGAGCATTGTGGGTAAATTCCATAGGCATCAGAGAACATATAGAGAGGGGTGTGGCCACTATTTTGTCAGGCGTGCCCTGCAGTTGTACACAACACACAGTAACAAAGGGATTCCCAGAAACATGCAGTTATGTTAACACCATCACACACACACACACACTTTGACACAGCAGTTACTGTGTAGAGCTCACTTTGGGCTGGACCTAACTGGAAAGGAATGCAGTTGGGTTTTATACATCCTGCCTGAGGGACTGAGAGATGATGGTGTCCTCCATAGAGAGAGAGAGAGAGAGAGTGTGTGTGTGTGTGTTTGAGGTCAAATAGGTGAAAGGGTCCACGTGGAGGAGATGTATGATGGTCTGTGGTTTTGGTGTGCAGCTGATGCAGTGTGTGTGCATTGCTTTTGGTAAACCTTAGCAGGAGGTGAGTTTCTTCATTTCTATATTCCTCACACATGCGCGCACACACACACACACACACACACACACACACACATACACACACACACACACACACACACACACACACAGTTCCCATTCCCTGCATACCTAGTGTTCTGTCTGAGGCTGGCTTCCAGGAAATGAGGCACTTTAATTGAGTTGACTTTTTACGGCTCGACTGGTGATAGTGTGTGTGTGAGGGAGAGCGAATGAGGTGTCTTTGTGAAAGAGAGCGTGTGTGTGTGTATGGATGTGTGCGTGTGTGTGTGTGTGAGAGGGAGAGAGAAGAGGAGAGATGAGAACTCTACCTGAAGAGACTGGAATAAAAAACAGAGCAGTTCTTAAGTAAAAAAGGTGAAAGGAGTACTTTACGCCCCACATGATTGTCTTAAATCAACTACTAATGTTTTTACTAAAGTATACTAAGATTAAACACAAGTCAAAAAATCCTGATGAATGACACACACACACACACAACCACTGTTTTTACAAGTTACCTCAGTAAAGGTAATTACAATGATCCAAAGGCTCCGTTCCGTAGTTCCTTATTTTACTATGACACTTACAGGAAAACATGTGTGTCAAAAGTTATTGTTTGTGTGGTTGTGGGTTTTCGTGTGAGTTTGACACTACTTATTTATGGGAAGAAGACGGAGCAGGCAATTATAGATAAAATTGCGCTCCAGGGACCAACAGAAATGAGCCTTCTTCCCAAAATCCAACCAGAATAATCCAGTTTTACACACACACACACACACACACACACACACACACACACACACACACACACACACACACACACACACACACACACACACACACACACACACACACACACACTGTCTAAATAAGCCAGCTCAGCTCACTATGACTCATTTTATGTTCCCCATAGTTGCCTGGTTAGTGGGGCTGGAATATTTTGCCTCTCGTGAAACTCACACAGTCATAGAAAGTCTTTCCACCATGATTCATTTTTTCGGGTAATGACTTGCTGTGTCCTGCTCAACAGTTGTCAACATTGTCCCCGGCCAAGCACAACACCCCAGACTCTCAAACAACTGAGCTGAGTTTTATATTCTTTCTCTCAACAATCAAAACATTCACAGTAAAGTTTGGGCAGTCTGTGTATTCAACTCAAAGGAAATGTGAAACAAATGTTTTTTAAAGTAACATTCTTGCAGTCTGATTAAAACTCAAGTGGTATTAACAGTTTCTGTATTCATTGCATTATTGAGCTCATGCCAATGTCAACGGCCTGGAAGGTGGAAAGAATATTAAAGGGTTAGGAGTATACCCTGCAACGAGCAATCCACAGCGTTCTTCCAGGAAGGAGCTCCGGTTTGCTGATTATTTCTTCCAGGAAGGCTTTTTGTTGGCTGATCTCCGCTTATAGGAAAGACGTTCGGTTGGCCCATCAGCTGGAGTATTGTCACAGCCGCTTCTGATAAAGCCAAAGCAGCTTCCAGGAAACCAGAGATTTACCCTCCAGCATTCCATCATTCCTCCAACATCAGCGCACAGAGGGAGAAAGCCAGGGAGCAGGAGGGGAGTAACAGGGACACAAATCAATAAAAACCATATGGGAAGCATACAGATGGTCAAATGCACTCAAAATGTCTGCATGCATGTATTTGTGTGCATGCATGACCTCATTGACTGCCCACCTCATTGTGACACACTCAAACCACAATGTTTTCTATGCTCAATATATACCACCATCCCCCCCAAAAGCACACACAGAGGTGGACCAAGTACTCAAATCAGATTTAAATCAAGTAATACCACGATGAGGAAATATGTTTGCTCAAATATTTTATTTAATTAAAAGTACAAAAGTATTAGAATTGAATATACTAAAAGTCATCATTACCCAGAATTTAAGGATGATAATAATTGCAACATTGCATTGTAGTTATTGCACCAATAATGTGTTCATTACTTTGATGTTTCAGCTAGTAAAGGTTGAGCTAATTATAATTACTTAATATACTGCCAGGTAACTTGGAAAATGTCCCCCCAGGGATCAATAAAGTTTTAAAAAGTTTTATCCCCGCCCCTGAGCTTTTCCAAGTAGTATTGGTTGGTGCTCATGTTGGATCATCATTCCATTTCCATCAGAGAACGAACAACACGCCACACTGTGTCATTTGTTAAATTGCCTTCATATTTTCTGTCCATTGACTTTTACATGAACAAGAAGATGGATCTAACCGCTCATTTATCGTTAGCAGCATGGCTACCGTTAGCATCCTGGCTAAAATTACTGTCCAAGAAACATCCAAAAGAATCCCAATTTAAATTTCAACTGCATGTACATCGTTAGGTAATACGATACGAATATACTTTATTGGTCAGATCAAGTCTGACATTTGACTTGTGTCACAGCAGCTCCATTTGCAGCATCAACATAATAACTGAGAGAAACATGCTCAAAGACCCTTTAGCGTAGGCCTACATTTGACCTTTGATTTAGTATAGGGATTTTGTATGACTTACTTACTTTATAGACACACACGCACGCACACACACGCACACTCTCTCTCTCTCTCTTTGCATCTGAAAGTCAATCATTGTGATGATTTTCCAGTAACACCTGGAAGGCCTAATGCAGATGGGTGTGCCCATGTTGTTACTGGCGGGAATAACGAAAACCTGGGATGACCTGAAATGTACAAAACCGGTTGCAAAAGGCATTTACGACTAGTAGACACACTCACATTGTTTTATCCAAGAGGCGTCTTTTGTTGCTGTTTTGCTCTCCACTCACAGCTGTGCGAGTGTAGCGGCAGAGACGCTCGAGTGCCAAATGACTTACTGTAACAGCATGGACTCAGACCAAACCCTCCAACACTCTCAGATGTCACTGTGTCCCTTTGGCCAGCAAACAGGACTGCATAATATTTCAACTTTAGACTGCAGCTGACACGCGTGCGTAAAAGCACCAGCATATGCACATACATATGTGGTGAGTAAGGTTTTTCTTTGGTCATGAATGAATAGCAACACCCATGAGTTACCTCCAATTATGGAAGAAAAAAGAAGGTGAATCTAATGCATTCAAAACACATTGTGAGAGTCAATTAAAGCACACAAAAACATTACTTATCTAGGTGAACATTACAATCAACTGTACGAATTGGCACAAGTAGAAAAAGTGTGTGGCTAGGTGTCAGTCTTTTGCCGTGAGTCAGTTACATAATTTAGACATAAAAGAGGCTCCACTGCCCCCGGCGTTCCTTATCCATTAACAGACGCGCTGCCTCCCTGAAGCGACACATACTGCACTAACTGGAAGATCAGAGGCAGATATTGACCTTCATATCTATAAAATAACAATTGGGGTTTGTTTACAAATGACTCAATTTTAAAAAGTTTTCACTGCAAATTAAAACTCCCATAAACCCTCAATCCAAAATGGACATTTTGAATATGAACAGCAGCGCTTTTCTGCCAATAACTAACAGGCTGCTCTGTTTTATTTCAACAAGGATCCGATTGAATTAAACAAGCCTCAAGACTGAGCCCTCTGCATCAAGTCCATTCTGCCATTGACCTGCCACAGCATGGACCCCCCAATATAAAACAAATGGCACTTCTCAGGCTCAGTGTGCATGTGTACGCATACTTAAGTGAGTTTGAGAACAGCCTAATCATTAAGGAAAAGTTATTGCTTAATTTAAATACTCCTTTTCCTGCAATAGGTGGCATTAAGACACACATACACACACACACACACACACACACACACACACACACACACACACACACACACACACAATGTTTTTTAATGTGATCACATTTGTTCTTGAAAGAAGAAAACAGGGGGTCCACTGTGTGTGTGCAGTGCACGCCAAGCAGTGTATAGCATCTGAATGCAAGAGCCAATCAGAGAGCTGTAAAGACACTGAGCCCCCCAAGTACTGCTGGTTTATAGGGCTCAGCTGCAGAGAAGTCACATGACTTCCCAGAGAGTGAGAGAGAGACAGGGAGAGAGGAGTGGGCAATGTGGGAATGGAGGATGAAGAAGAGGAGGGGGGGAAAGAGGGTCAGGAGGGAGACAGGAACACTGCGAGGGGTGAACTGAAGGTCTGGTAAATGAATGTTGAAGAAAAAAGGTCTAAAAAAGACAGATGCGACTGTTCTCGGAAGTGAATTGTACATGTGGTTCATGGTATATAATTACAGCTGAATGAACCAAATGAGAAATGACTGATTGAAGAGAAGTGAGTGGATGAATGAAGGATGAGATGA